CAGGGTCTTTTTCTGCCCTAACAGAATCAACACTGAACACACAAAGAAGGTCGAGGTCTGTGTGTACATTGTGTCGTTGTAAACAATAGTGTGTTTGTTGTTTGAGTTTCAGAGTTTTAGGGCTGTTTGTTTTTCACCAGCCAGGTAAAGGAAACATTTAAAGACTCTAAGTTAGGCTACTTTTTGATACCGCAGCGTACCTGCCCCCACAGGACTGGAGTTTCATTACAACAGGAATAACAGGTTATTCGTAATTGATTACAAGTATTGTATCTAGGTTTGAAATTCTGTTGTTGTGACAACCCTATCAAAATGTAACCAAAACAGGAAACGAGAGGGACATAGGAGCTCACCTGAAGTCTAATTTGTCTTCACCTTGTCCTTCACAGACATGACCTTCTCTTTGTGTTCCCTGCTCTCTATCATGTCATCAGTCTCTTTGCCCTCCTCTTCCTGTTCTCCTTCCTCCTCATCCTCCGCGCCGAGGAGGACGCTCTGTCGCACGCTGACGGAGATCACCAGCGCCTGGATGATCCCGTAGAGCAGAGCGAACTGCGGGAGATACTCCTGAACCAGCCAGAGTAATCCTGCCATCCCCACTGTGGACACAAAGAACATGGCCATGCCGTGAAGCCACAGCCTCAGGGCCCCCGTGACCCCCAGAACCTCCAGGACCAGCTTGGCCGGGGGGGACACGGTCCACAGGAAGCCGACCACAAACAAGTCAAACAGGTGGCGGAGGAAGTTGAAGCAGATCTCATGGTGCTCTGGATGGATTTCCACCTTCAAGCCGTTTACAAAGAGTCTGAAGGGAGATGTTCTGGGAGGGGTGGGAGAGGGAGGTGGTGTACCGTAGTCTGAGAAGTCCCCGTCAACATCTTCTCCATTCCGACCATCCCGTTGTTTTCTTCTTCTTACTCCGCTTGGTTCCGTTTTTCTTGGCCAGGGAAGGTAAGAAGTTGGCATATAGTTACTCCACCATCTGGAAACCAGCTGTGAGCTTGGTCGGGTCTCCTGCTTTCCTGCACGTAGAACTTCGATCTCCATGGGCTGAAGCTTCTCCTGCGCCTCCCAGAATTCCTCTGCCGGACTGCAGATGTCACTCTGACGTCCCCATCCTCCCCAGACCCAAGAGATCCACCCCCTGCTGCCCCGGCTGACCTGCTTCTGTTCCTCAGCTGTTACTGTGGGTGTATTCTCAGACACTACTTTACTGCTGCTGCTGCTGCTGCCGCCCCAGGAGCGAACCCACCCCCACGCCCGGCCCACCACAGCTGTCATCCTCCCTCACCGAGCCGCCTGGAGGTGAATTAAAAAGGAGTTCACTCAAGTTTGATTTAAGCTCCTCTTGCTTGAGTCAGCCAAGCAGCTACGTGAGCTCACTGGGAAAGCACGCACGCACTGCCAGCTCAGCCGTTAAGTTGCAGCACTTGTCGACAAGGCCTGGGCAGAGTTATGTGCCACAGAAACACCTGTGGGTGTGTTTGAGCAGGTAAATGTACAAAGAGGGGAGGGGGGGGGGCAGCTTTCACAGATTGGCAGCATTTAGAAGTGCAGCTTCTCAGCTACATGTCTTTGGTTTCACCTGACACCTTTTGGGAACCATCCAGGATGATAACTGTGCAGGTTAACACAAGCGAACAAACTTTTACGTCGTCGTCGTCGTAGGCTTCAGGTCGATGCCGTCGGTGTGTTTGGCAGAAACTCTGTAACACCTGCAAAGAAAAGAAAACACATTTTAAATCCAGCCTGTCAACGACACTGTTAAAAGGTTGGCTACTGTTTTTTTAAATCACCAGAAGTTGCGGACGCCTGAATTGCACAAATACTTTGGCAACGTATTTAATCTCTCTTTTCTGACTGAAGATCTGTAACTTTTCTAACGCCTCGGTTCTTGTGGATACTATTGATTGATTATAGAAATAACAGAGATCGCATGCCACCAATATGAGATGATTTCAAATGTCTTATTGAGTCGTGTTTATAGTTTTATTTCCCTTCTCTTACTTTTGTCAATTTTTACGGTTTAATTCATCTTTACACTTAAATACAAATACATTTTTATGACATTACACCTGCAACTTTTAACACAAAACACTTTCTCTTCTTGTGACAGATTTTCTTCAGCCTGATTTTGTCCTCTTGAAACAAATCAAATGTAACTAATTTTATCAACTTTCTTGAAGTTTTAAAAACGTCAGTCTGTGTCACACATCTATACAGTTGTGTGATCTTATTTGAACCTAGCTAACCTGTAAAAAATGACCTCATCTGACCTGCACACTGTGAAATAACTCACCTGTACATTTAGCTAAATTAGCTTTTGCTAACCTGTAATTATTTCTTTCACTCCGCCAACCTGCTCATCATCACTTCGCTGACATTTCAGTTCCACCACAGTTTCAAAGGATTAAACGGTTCAGTCTTCCTGTCTAATGCCAGGAGAACCATTTGAGAGTTTAAATTGGTAATTAATCCGATGATAGGTAATAAAACGCTCACCTTCACCGACGCTAGCTGGTGGCTGTCTGTCACAACAGAGGAGCTAAGTTAGCTCTCCCAGTTAGCATCACACACGTCTCTCGTCTCACGCCCAAAACTTGGTCAACTTTTTTTAGTGTTTTCTCGTTCACACGGCAGAGTGTGTGTCCTCTGTGTTTGGAGAATACAGTCGGAGCTGAATGATGAGATGTACCGGCCGGGTTCGGTACCGAGAGCCCGTTAAAAAAAAAAAAACAACACAGTCCGGAGTCCTGCTGTCGGCTCGGGCTCAGCCGTTTACCGAATTTAGAGAACAAAGACGAAGAAGAAGAAGAAGACGAAGAAGAAGAAGAACAGGTCCGGTCTGCACCTTCACAATAAAACTCCCTGCAGGTCACCCTGAAGCTCCTGGGCTTTCACAAAAAGCTGCCAAACTCAAAAGATTACTGCAGCTTCTCACTCCTAGTGTGGATACATGAATCTATCCTTAAGGTAGCGTCACCTCCAGATCCCATCGCGGGGTTACAGGACAAAGTGTGCAGCACAGGGCAGAATATCTTTATTGCACGGGTAGGTCCGGTCTGCACCTTCACAATAAAACTCCCTGCAGGTCACCCTGAAGCTCCTGGGCTTTCACAAAAAGCTGCCAAACTCAAAAGATTACTGCAGCTTCTCAGTCCTAGTGTGGATACATGAATCTATCCTTAAGGTAGCGTCACCTCCAGATCCCATCGCGGGGTTACAGGACAAAGTGTGCAGCACAGGGCAGAATATCTTTATTGCACGGGTGTAGATTTAGGGCGTGGTCGCCAACAGTACATTCATGATTCAGCATTTCGTAACATGCAATCAGGTGGTTAAACTGTAGGTTTATTTATAGAGCACGTTTCAACAACAAGGCAAATCAAAGTGCTTCACACAAGACATCAAAAAGCATCATGACAGAGGAAAGAAAAGAAACATTAAAATAGAACATAAAAAAATAAAATAAAATAAAAATCACTGGAATTATTCAATCTAAACGTATGTTGAAATAAAAATAATTCAAATGAAATTAATTGAAATAAATAAAGTAAAAAATATAAAAAGAGTTAAAACTTACAGTGCAGAGTTAAAATCTGATTAAAGTTGTTTAATGAAAGGCAGCTGTAAACAGGTGAGTCTTCAACCTCAATTTAGAAGAGCTGAGAGTTTCCGCACCCTGTAAAAATAACTCTTTCTTTCAAACAGGACTCCTTATGGAAGAGAGAGCTCCCTTTACAACAGTCTTTCTGCAGACATCACGTTTACTATTTTTTTTATAAACCTATTTCATACTTTTATCTTGACATAGTTCATTCATTACCAACTTCTCTGTAAACGTGTACTAGTTTAGTCAATGGGTAAGTGTGTGTATGAAAGTTGCAGTAACAGCTTTTGATCTTTGCACAATAAATACACAAAAAGATTATTTACAGTCCAGACAGAGGGAGAAAACTGAGCTTTTTTTAAAGGGTGGCTGGTTGAATCCCCCTGATGAAACAAGCTGTTCTTAATGACTACAAACAAAACTACTTTTATTGTCCTACAATACAGTTGAGAAAAATGTATTCTGTATTTATGAGAAAGTTTCTGATAGAGTTTCTTGTTTCATCTTATTTTGGCCAAGTCAATTCACAAGTCTTAAACTTTTGGTTCAAAGCAAACACATCTCTTCAGTAGGGACTTGAGTTGGGGATAGGAGGGTTGCTGGATGAAGTCCCAGTGTGCACTATGTCTTGAAACTGGTAAGGTGCCAGTTCTCTTCCTGAGCACTGCCACGATGCTTATCAAACCCTGAACTGCTCAGGCACCTTTAATGTGCAGCCCCCCTCGCTTTGACATCTCTCCCTTTGAATCTGTGTTCATGGGATCCTGTTTGTGCATTCCAGTCTGTCTGAAGATTGTAAAAGTAATTTCCCCTTGTGGGATTATTAAGGATCTTCTCTCCAACATGTGCACATCTGACTCCATGGTAAAAAAGCAAATGTTCCATACTTTGTTAAGTGAACTTCTGATTTGAGTTAGACAAAATCTCCTTCAGGATCACAGTATCCACATCACGTCAAACTTTGATCACTAGGTTTGCGTTTTAGTAATAGACTGAATAGAAACCTGGTACATCAAACCCACAGTGGTTAATTACATCTTCTGACCATTTCAGGGATGAAGTTTTAATTTTCCAGCTGCTTTACTTCTACAAAAGCAAGATGTGTATTTAACACTGTATGCAGATAAAGTTCACTACAGGAACACAGATCACCATGACTAATGCCAGGAGCCAAAATGCTTAACTAGTTAGTCAAGTTGTTGAAATTGCACATGTTGCTGGAGCTTTTTAAGCCTCTGTAGTTGTCCCAGAAAAACCCTTCTGACTTTACTTCTACGGAAACACTTCAGTACTGGTTATCCAAGCCGAGTACTTTCACATCCCCAAAACAAACTTAACAGATTTCTCTTCATTCCAATCAAATCTTCAGACAAAAAGACAAGAGTCACAGTACTGTCAACTGTTTATTTAAATATATGCACAAGACATGAACGACAGTCTTCTTCTCCAAGACTCCTTCGACATCTGCGCTCCAGCTTGATCAACCACAGCTCGACCTGAAAAATGAAAAAAATATTTCGTCAGCTGTGCCCGACTGAAAACAAACTCTTCAAAAACAGAAGCTCTGGTAGTTTGAGAGTCTCAGTGCGCTGCGAGTAAAACTTCAGTTTGAATCAGACGAACCGAAATCTGAATCATCATCGACAAAACTCAGAAACCAGAGCTGCAGGATCATTCTATGCATCTCCACATACACATTTTAACACCAACTACCCACACTCTAATAAACATCAATACTTACAGCTGTTGCTGTCACTGCTGATTACCTTCCAGCCAAGTGTGAGCTATAAACAAAAACCAGATATGAATTAGTACCAACAAGTGACAAAAATAGAGAAGCGATCACGGCCACAAACCAGGTTTATGGATGTTTTAAACTCATTCACTGCAATCATTTTCCAAAATGGAAAATCAATCCTGGCAGCACACTTCATCCAGCATGCTGCACAACCATACAGCTTATCGACTTCATGGAGGTCATAATCCTGCATGTTAAGTCAACATGTGACCAGCAGAGGGCGACAAAGGGAGTCTGGGCAAATAGATGCAGGGTTGTGGAGTCTGTACTTCACAAACTCAACTAGAAATGTTCCATACAGGAAGCACAATGGATTACATTGAGAGTGAAACAGTTGTGACTTCCTGTGTTCCTGGAGCCCACCAGGATATTAAAAAACAGACAAAGATCTGTAGTTTCCTCAGTAAATCAAGTTTAAAACATCCAATCACTGGTGTGTCTTTGTGGTCAGTGCACTGTGAAGACATCTTCATGCTTTTGTCAGAGACTCTAGTCTAAGAAATCATCATCCCACAAGAAGCAGCAGAGAGGACAAAGGCCTCTTTTATTTTTGAAACTTACCGAGAGGTGACATCACATTCAGCTGCTTCGTTGTGGACACTGTGGCAAGAAAAGAAATCATCAGAACCAGTTCTACTCTGCAGTGTGAGGTGTTAATCTAGTAATCTGCATGATCAGTGCACTGTGAAAGAGCATCACGGTTAATCAGAGACTCTAGTCTAGTGAATCATCATGTAACAGGTTTTTTTGAGGGATTCTGCAGATCATCAGGGGGGGGTTCAGAGATACTCACCATCAGGTCAGGGCTGCACACTGATCTCACTCAGAGGGATCCAAAAGGAGTACACAGGCATGAACTTCTGCAGCATCCTGAAACAACAGAGGAGTCAAACATCAGCAAATCATGTTTATGCAGCACATGGTAGACGCCATTTTGCTTCCCTCTCTGCTATGCACTCAAGTCTTAAAGCTTCCACATTTAACACATAACTAATGCTACTGCACAGATTGTATGATCATGGAGTCAGAAACATTTACACCAACCATTTCTTTAACTCACCTTAATCAAATCCGCTCTCTAATCCACCTGTAGATCCATTAATCATCATTTAGAGAAACATCTCACAGGTTGCAGTCATCGTGTTTCTGCTCCTCCATTACAGTCTGGTCTAGCTGCAGCCACACCACGTGGAGGCCACGGAGGGACCTGCGCAGGCGCTGTTGCTCGCTCCATCCCGCCCAGAGGAGAAATTAAAAAACCCTTTAAAAGGAGACTTAACATGTTCTACAGTTACACCTGCAGGTTTCCTTAAACTAACTTTACAGAGTTAAATCTCAATGTCTGCTGAAGAGCTTGTGGCTGCAGCTCGGAGGTTTTCAATTTTTTTAACGCTTCAAAATTTGAGATAACTTAAAAATTTACATTTATGAACAGGCAATATCATTAACCTGTAAAAGTTTGGTTTTAAAACTTCGATTATTTTCGATACTACAGATCATTAATAGGCTGTATCAGATATTAAAAACACGTTTGAAAAGCATCATAAAATGCAAAAGCCTAATTCACACGTTTCTCAGCTCATTTGGCTTCTCAAAGTTACATTGACCTCTCTTGACAAACAGACAAATAGCAGAGGACGAGACTCTGTCTAAATTGCAGAAATACGTTGGCAACTTATTTGTGCAATTTATCAGTGTGCAGGACTCTGCCTGCAATCTTTGGTAATTAAAAACAATTGATTACCCATTGTGTATTAGGTGACACTTCTAAATAGTTTCTGTGGTAAATAGTCTTAATAGTATCGTATCAAAGTTACATTTGACATCAACATGTAAATATGCCAGATTTTAGACTAAATGCTGATTTCCAGCTGTTTCCATTTCTCTCGGCAGGTTGGTGGTTCCTACGCATACAAATGTACATAAATCCACAATGACAAACAAAAACAAACAACAACATAAACTGTACATTAGTTGACAGAGACACATTTATATAAACATGGGCGGTTCTAGGCAGGGGCCAACAGGGGCCAGTGCCCCTGTAACAATGAGCTTGCCCCCCCCCCTATGGCCACCCCTCCAAAAGGAAGAGCCACCCCTCAAAACACATACACAGTATTTGACTCAACAGCCGGACTCACAATCTAGTATTAAATACTGTTAATGAAACAAATATAAATCATGGTATTTTATGTTGTGCATAATATATATATATATATATCTTTAAAGTGATCATCTTTGTCTATTTTTCACCTGGGTTTAATGTTCCTCTCTGACAAAACAACTGGCCCCCGTTTGGCCCCCTTGGTGAAAGTGGTCTAGAACCGCCACTGCATATAAAGCATAAGAAGCGGCTGTGCGATGTTGTTCACAACAAATAACTTTTATACGTTTAATTCATTAATCAAACAAACAACCAATTAAATACAGACATAATATCTCAAATCTTGAAGAGAGCGGGGCGACTGTGGCTCAGTTGGTCGAGTCGTCGCCTCTCAACCGGAAGGTCAAGGGTTTGATCCCCAGCTGAGCAACATGTCCGATGTGTCCTTGGGCAAGACGCTTAACCCTGCATTGCTCCCTCTGCTTCGGTGACAGTGTATGAATGGATTAGTGTTGTACTTACTCTGATATACGTCTGCTAAGTGAATTGTAACATTGTAACAAGAAGCAGAAAGAACAATAATTCCGTATAATCTGCCGTCTTCCATAAAACATTTAAAAACAAAACATATAATTAAATTAAATTAAAATGAAACAGCTGCAGGCCAACACAGCCAATCACATCCCACCATAAATTCCTGTTACCATTTATTTTATACCAGCCAAAGAAGATCACAAAATGATCACCGAATAAATAAAAAAACTTAATAAACACATTTTATAATATTTCCTCGACCTACTTTCTTTCATAGTTTTCTTATTTCACAGGTGATTCATCTACTAAACTGGTATCATGACTACTTTAAATAACCAGAACTGTGTGTCACCTTTAAAAAATAAAGGTAATAAAAAAAAAAAACCCATGAATTAAACTACGTTATAAAGGCCTTTTCATCATTTTGGCATTTGAATTGTTGTTAAACATCAGATCAAAAAGGTTTTTACAATTATTTTTTAACGTTATTGTTTTTTTTTGTGTTTTTTTTGCCTTTATTGCACAGGACAGGAAATTAATATTTCATAATTTTACAACTGCCAGATGTCGTAGAAACATCTGTACACGGGGCGCGTCACATGACCGCCAGGAGCCGCAGCGTTTAAAGAGTCTGTTGGGGCCCTAAGCAAAAATGAATTGGGGGGCCCTCTTACCAGCACCTGTTTCCCAACGCTTACTCGTCTTCCTCTCTCTCTCTGTTTTTTTTTTTTTTAATTCAATCCCTGACAGATAATTCCCTTTAATTATTTTTCTTCGGTGACTGTCGTTGATTTTCAAATGTTGGTCTTCAAATTAAAAACGTATGCCACGCTTAGCAGGGCAACGAGAGGGAGCGCTGTCAGATGGGAGGTATCCTGTCATTGCAAAATTTGCACATTTTTAGCCACTGCTTGGGGCCCCCAGGCCTCTACTGGCCTAGGGCCCAAAGCAGTTGCCTGCCTTGCCTGTGACAAGCAGCGCCTCTGGCCTGGCCACAATTATACTTTTTTAAGAGCTCATAAGAATCACTTCGCCCATTTTCACCTTTATTATGACAGAGATGACGGAGAGAAACCAATCAAACCAAAATGATAGATTTATTTCAGGCCCACCCCTCTATTGGTTCCCGGGGCAGCCAGTCCCATCTCCCCCCCGCCCCCCTTAGAGACGCCCATGCTGGCAAACACACCCGGAACTCACTCTCACTGCTGCCGTCGTCACTGAGGTCAGGTACACGGAGCGAAGATGGCGACCGCCTACGAGAGATACAATTTGTAAGTACAAAAGCTGAATTCACGCTTTTTTGAAAACCGTCCTCCTCACGGTTGAACGATTTCAAATAAAGCCGAGGGACCGAGCTGATGACCGGGGGGGGCGTAAGCGGGGCTGTCGGTCAGACGGAACCGGCTTGATCGCTCGTGTTGTCGGATGACACAGCGGCTGAAGTTCGCTGACAGGCTGAGCTGGTGGAGCAGGAAGCAGCCAAGTTTCTCTCCACAGTCATTCATTATCAAGTGTCCATGCTGCCATATTCACAAGGAGTACGGCAGCTTTGTGACTCTCTAAAGAAGGGGGTTGTTGTTCTGTAGGGACGTAGGAAGTAGAGCCGCCACAACACCTGTTTTTTTATTTTATCAACTTCGATTCAATATCGATATCAGCTTCGATACCGTGTTGCGATTTAGACCGTGTGCAGAAGTTATCCTGCAATTTACAGGGGGGGGTAAAATCAAGAAGTAACCTTATGTCAGGTGTCTAGGACTTCTATTTGTGTCACCCTGGTATTGAAACAGGGATCCATATGGTTTCAATTTGACTTGTCTCAAATGGAAGATTACAATTCTGGCATTGTTACAAACCCTCTATTTGTGTGATCCAGGTCAAAGTTAGAGATGCACCGATTGGAGAATCAGGGCCGACGCCGATACAGATGTTCGTTTTTTGTGACCTCTTTTGTAAGACTCCCACAATGCCACCATTTTTTTTTTCTTCTTCTCATGTTTGACGATGAAAACAAGTCAGGTGACTTCATCTACCCAGTAAATAACTCAGGAGTGAGGTGCACGAGATGTCAGCATTAAATTGATCTGACACAAAAAAAATAAACATCGGTTACAGGCATTGTCTCGTGCCACGTTGTTTGCCGATATCTGCGAGCAGGGCCGATATCTGCAGATCCCGATGTTGAACCGACGCTTCGGTGTATCCCCTGACAACATCAACATGTTTTGATAGCTGTTTCAATAACACAGCACCAAAATGGAGGTCTGTCCTAGGAACCTAGTGTTGGGCGATTCCAACAGAAATGCAAGCAAACTCCTACGTTGGCGACGTTTTGTCTAGATTGCGCAAACACGTCGGCAAGCAAGCAACCAACGTGTTAGTGGGTAAGAATCAAAAATAAAACATAAATCGGACAGATCTGACGGAGATCTTTTGAGATCGAGACGTTCAAGTTCAAGTCGTTCTTGTTTTATCAAACGTGTTCGTGCAATTCAGAGGAAATAAAAAGACGTGCCCTTTAAATGACACCACGCTAACCGTCGTAGTTGCCCAAAAACGTCGGAAATGTTCATGTCCAGCTGCACAATTATGTTCTTATTGTAACGTATTTGTGCAGTTTAGACAGTGCTCTCTCTCTCTCTCTCTCTCTCTCTCTCCCTCTCTCCCTCTCTCCCTCTCTCTCTCTCTCACCTTTAAGATGATGAATGCTTTAAAGTACGTGGTGTCCAAAAGTATCAGAGTGTTGAACATTTAGTCAACCTTAGCAGCAGGTTATTGAACGCCATGACTTTGTTTTATGTTATTTGACCTATTTTTGAAGAGGTTTTCATGAAACGTGTCCAGGTGTGACATCGACATATTGTGACCTTTTGCCGTCGGCTGTTCTTGAACTGTACCTTTTCCTGAAGTTGACAGATCTATATGTACTTTTCACCCGACACACCCTTTATTAGAAGCAGGTCACCCACCCAGTCTTACCTGTCTGTCCTACCCGTCACTGCACTGAGTCAGCCGACCCACCAGTATTTGGGCTTGGTTTAAAGTGGCTCACCTCTGCAGCTCACCTGGTCGGTCTGAAATGGGTTAAACACTGAGTTAGTGTTGGTAGTCTCCTCAGTATTAAAACTGGTCTCAGGAATGTTTAGTTGGTCTGGATTATGGAGGGAAACAAAGGAGTGTTTGTGTGTTGGTGTGTGTGTGTGAACATCACCCCGAGCCGCAGACGTCACCGCGGCTCAACACGAGGTCCTGTTTTCATTCAAGGCTCAGTGTGTTACTCAAGCAGCTGCTGCGTTGAGCTGTGATTCACAGTTCTGTGGTGATGGCGGGTTCAGTTTGTTGTGTAACTGATTCCACAAAGGAAGCGACCATCCATCCATCCATCCACACACACGGGGAGGACGGAGATCGCCGTAAAAGCTTTACATCCGGAGACGGTCAGGAAACATTCAGATGTGCTCCAGCTTTCATTTCATAAATTGTTAACTGGACCTGGATGGCTTCCAGGTCGCTCTCTCTGTGAGCATCCTGCAGAAGTCGCTCTCTATCAGAAACCACCCTCTGCTGCTCATGCAGTCCTGGGATTAAGTTGTGAAAATGTTCAATACTTTGATACATGTGTTCTTAAAGGACACCATTTCAGATTTTTTTAATGATCGATGGTATCGCAAAGTGTTGAAGCTTTAACAAAAACTAAAGTCTTCAGTCTTATTTTTTAAGGGAGAGAGTCAGATTTAAATTCACATTTTGACAAATACTGACATTTCTCTCCAGTCCTTTTGGTGTCTCATCAGGATGCAAAAGTTTTGTTCATGTCTCTTACAAACAGGCCGAGAGCAGAGGAGTTGACGAAATTGCGCAAATACGTTGGCACGATTGTTGCCGGTATGCAGAAAACAAAGTACTCAATATCAGGTGTCTAGGACGTTGAAATAAAAAGGGTATCAATCAAGCCGCAACCTCCACTGTTGGAGAATAAGGCCAATGCTGAAGTGAAAAATCCTTGAGTGTCCACGAGAGGCTGGCTGCAGAAGCACAGGAACCCATTCAAAAAAGCCTGTTTTGACAGCAGAAATGATCATGTTTACAGCCTGGTTCAAAAAACCAAATAGGTGTGATTAGCTCATGTCTCGATCAGCACACACTGTACAGGGGGTGAATGTTTTGATGACTTATCCGTTTTGATATTATGCAGGATAAGAGTTATTCACAATAAGGCGTGTAGCTGACATGATTGACAGGTGGGCGCGGTGTAACGGTTTGTCAGGAGGTTTAAAACCCGCCTCAGCTCTCAGCCTGTTGTTAGGTTGACTGAAAGTTAGGCGGTGGAAAATAAGGGCTGAGCTCCTTCTGCATTTTGATGTGCTATAATGTGACATGTTCCTCATTCAAACTTAGAAGTGGTCAAACAGAGGGATGTTCTGCACCTCTTATCTTTGTCCTCCTACAGGATATCCTCTCTAACACATCCGAGTGAAAGAATGATTGCAGAGCTGTAACTGTTCATTGTGACGTCTCCTTTCTTGTCTTTTAGGCACATTACCCCAGAGAAGTTCTTCATCGAGGCGTGCGATGAGGGAGCTGATGCTGTTCTGGCCATCGACAGGGTCTCTAATGAGATGACTCTCACAGGTAGACAGCCACTCATACACTCCATTGATGTGTCTTAAGGAGACAGAGGACATGAGAACCATGATGTGCCGAGAATTAAAGTGCTGCACGTCCCTCCTTGTCTCTATGACGCCAGACGCTGTATGACCGACACGTCTCTGTTGCTTTTTACTGCATGTTTTATATTTTTGAGATTGATTTTTACCCGATCAGATATAAAAAAAAAAAAAGAGGAAGTGGGTACAAGAAAAAAAACACGGGGAGGATAAATACATTTGGAAAACAGCGGCGGTGACATCAGCAGCGCCTTTCTGAGAAGTTGAAAGATTTTTAACTTGAGCACTCGGAGCGGCCGCACAAAAAAAGGCAAAGCGCTCTGAGAATAAGATGCTGGGTGCTGCTCTTCTTCTCTGGGCGTTTGTTTGCAACCGCCCTCATTGAAAACAGCTGAAAAAAAGACGCTGGCGCTCTGAAAAAAAAAAATGCTCGGTGAACACGGGGGCCTGAGTGTCGAAGCACGTGGCTGGAAGTTTGTCAAAAGTTTAATTCTGAGAGATTCTATAAAGCCTGTTACCTTTTCACACATCATGGTGCTTTCACAGGTAAAAAAGACGTCCCTCTGTCGGCGGTCACCCGGCCCATCTGTGGCATCATGGGAACCATCCGTCTGGTGGCAGGTCGGTACAGTCGTGTTTCAGCATCATCTGTGGAAGTGTTTATAATCAAACCGCTGTGACTGATGGCGTCCTCGCCTCACAGGTATGTACCTGATCGTCATCACCCGGAAGAGGAACGTGGGCAGCCTGCTGGGTCACGCTGTGTGGAAGGCCGTGGACTTTGACGTGATCTCTTATAAGAAGACGGTGCTGCACCTCTCAGAGATCCAGGTCAGTGAGAGACAGGTCGCTCAGCTGGGCGAGCGAGACCGCAGCATACAGATGTTTACACAGCCCTTTGATGTCAGCTGCATGTGATCCCAAATCGCTCCACGCCGTGCGTCCCAATTCTCCTCAGCTCTCACTACACGTGAAGGTCAAAACATGGACGATATCTGGGCGGGCCGACCATTTTTATTTTGCCATATTTTTATCGCTGTCCGGGATCAATGAGCAAGTGGCCGAACTCCCCTCAGTGTGCAGGAGTTTTTCTGCATTTTTCAGAGATTAAAAGCAAGAATTTAAGGACTGTTTGTTGCTGCCTAGGATGTGTATTTGTGTTGCCTTGGTAACCAGGTCTGAATATGGATTACATTTATTAGAATCCTGTCAACGTTTGAAATTCTGGTATTGCGGCTATCTTACTGCAAAACCATTTCTGCAACACGCAAAAACATTTTTTAAGTTTAATAAGAAACTCGTCCTTTCTCCTGCATGTCTCTCTCTCTCTCTCTCTCTCTCGCCCTTGCCCACCCGCGTCACACTGTTTGTTGTCTTCATCTGATGATGTAACAACCACACACTGTTCTGTCCAGGTGTTTGTGTGCCAGTCTGACGGTCAGACGCCTCATGTTTCAGTCTGGATCAATGTGTAGGATCTGATTTCAGGGAAGCAGGTGGTGAATTATTCATCGGCTTCTGCTCCCGGTTTGTTGACACTAAAAGAGCAGCAGTGTTAACACGTGGCTCATTCATGAAAAAAACACTTTTCTGCAGCGTAGAAAAAAACAACAACAATAGACAACGGAGCTTTCATCCAGCCGGTCGTAGATCTAACTTGTGATTTCTGGTAAATCTGTCGTGTGAGGGACAGTGGAGCTTCACTCTGTGTGCTAACTGGATTAGCATCATGATCCTATTAGAAGCTCAAAAAACACGACATGCACGGCGTTTGTTTCCTAAATGAAGAGCTGGTAAGAGAGTCGATGATCTCCAGCAGCAGCAGCAGCACAGCTTTTTAAAAAAAAAAAAAATCAAAATCAAAAAGATCAAAACTGACCCTCGTGGTGCCCTGTAGTCACTGTATTTACACCTGTCAGCTTTAAATTCCAGAGCAGCAGCGGCACGTCAGCAGCTTAAGCCGTGCCTACGCTGCATGATGTCGGCCCAATTTACACCTGAATTCTGAGTGGTGCAGCTCATTTTGGGAGCCAGGATGAATCGTGTGACGTCACTCGTGTGTCGATTGTGAATGTGAGAACGAGAGAGAGTGTGTGTTTGAGCCGTACATGTGAGACAACTGTAAGACACTCATTTATGACTTCATCCTCCGTCTGTGGGAGTTTTTTACTGACTCTGTCCTCGGGGTGGGACTCACCAATCACCAGAGACCCCACGATACGATATCACCACCACACTTGAGTCATGATAGGAAATTATTGCGATTTTAAACATTTGCGACATTCTGAGAATTGCATATTACATACATACAAATACATATTGCCACAAAATTCCACTACATCAAGAACTGTTTAGTCAAATAAGAAAACAATCTCAGTCTATTCATCTCACTTCTGTCTTTTTATTTCTACACAATGCGAGTCAGGCCCACAGAGTGACCGTCACTGTGTGAAGTCAGACCCCTGTAGGAGGCTGCACACTCCTCACAATCTGTACGGACGACTGAACAATGGCCTTCAACTTGTTCAAGATGAATCGTGTAACCTCTTCAGCAATTACAAATTAAAAGAGCATATTTGCTGTTAGTACGATAGAAAAGTCGATACTCGGGCGGTCATGAGACGAGATAATATCTTCATGTAAAATGTCGCAACACTAAGCTGTACCGATTTTTCACCACCTCCCCTCCGTCCTGATTTCACTCATACAGTTTGAGCTCTGAGGTCGTGCCTGGCGTTCTCGACTGCACGGATACTTGACCCGTATTTTTGAGCAGTTAAGACTGTTCTCTCTCTCTTTGTCTTGTGGCAGCTTTTTGTTGTTTTTTTTTTTAAAGCTTCTGCAATCTTTGTCAGTATCTATGTTTTACTTTTCTTGTTTAAAAACCAACAAAGTATTGAAGATGTGAGTGAACCTGTCGGTCTGCTTCTTCAATGTGAACGCGTGTTGTGTTTCCTCTGCAGTCTCAGGAGAACAAGACGTTCCTGTCCATGATCAACAACGTGCTGACCACGGACGGATTCTACTTCTGCACCGACTTCGACCTCACACACACTCTGCAGAGACTCGCCAACACCAGCCCCGACTTCCACGAGATGAGTCTGCTGGAGCGGGTGAGACGGCGAGGACATACTTCTTTTTAAAAAAAAAACCCTCGTGAACACCCGTTCATTCAGACGGGGAAACTCAAACGTGTAACGGTCTCCTCAGCCGCTCTGATCGTCACTTAATGTGTGTATTAATGTGATGATTTTAATCAGAGAGTTTCTTTCTGTTTTCAGGCGGATCAGAGATTTGTGTGGAACGGAAACCTGCTGAGGGAGCTCGCTGCACAGCCAGAGGTAACACACACACACACACACACACACACACACACACACACACACACACACACACACACACACACACACACACACACACACATTACACATATACACACGCACACACTAAACACAGACACACTCACATTACACACATGCACATTAGACACACACACATCCACATTATGCACTCACACACATTACACAAACACTATAAGCATGCACGCACATTACACACTTGCACATTACACACACACATGCACATTATACACACACACAAACGCTACACACACGCACTACACAAACACATGCACACACAAACACACACAAGCAGACAAACACGTTACACAAGTTGACTTAGAGTGTTTGTTTATATCATCAGAATAAGTGACTCTCCTTTTCCTCCTTGCAGCTCCACAGGTTTGCTCTCCCTGTCGTCCATGGATGTATCCTTCATCTTGATTTTTCATTTTCACATTTATTCTTTTTTAGCTTTTTTATTTCTCGTCTCAGACACACTGAAGATGAGACGATGTGGATTAATGCCAGTGTTGGACAAAAAGCAGAAGTGACACTGGGAGGTGAAATGTACAGGATGGGTTAGGGGTTAGGGGGTTAGGGGTTAGGAGGTTAGGGATATCGAGGAGGAAACGCGACTCACAACATTTTTCTCTTCCATTCATCAGTCTTTAAACATCTCATGACACGCTCAGTTATGTGTTTACCTCATGTGACGTCTTCCGATCTGTAGATTTGTCCGTCATAGCGAACGCTTTCTACAGCGTTAAAACTCTCCCCTCAGTGTCATCGTCCCCATTCTCTGTTTCCCCCGACGTCAAACTAACCGGACTTCTCGCCACGGATTGATACGATCACAGTTAGTCCTGCAGAGTCTGTGCGATAAGAGCTGCGTCCTTAGCAACCGTCTGCTTTTCTTAGCAACAGTGTTTTTCTTGTTGACAATGGCGGCTGATCTGTTGAGGGTCATTTGTTGAAGTTCTGTTTTGTCGAGGTGGATCATCACTTCCCTTCTTTGTGCACACTCACAGTCTGAGTTTCCTCCTCCTTACTTCTTATCTTTAATCTAAAACATCTCGATTTGTTATCTCAGTATATCACCTCCTCGCCCCCTCTCTCTCTCCCCCCCCCCCACATTGGCTCTTTGACGCTCTCGTGGATGACGGAGGTTTGAGGTAGCTTCCTTGACGCCGTGTGTGTGTTCAGACATCGTCATGAAGCCGTGTCGTATCAATGGAAAGATCTTTGAGTGGATCCTGATCTCGAGGAGGAGCTGCTTCAGGGCCGGAGTCAGATACTACGTCAGAGGTTAAAACATAAACGTAGTTGATAAATAAATCGGAAGAAGCGTTATGTGCCTTGTTAAGAGTTTGATTTCTTTTTCCTGCACAGGCATTGACTCTGAAGGACACGCCGCCAACTTTGTGGAGACGGAGCAGATCGTTTTGTACGAGGGAGCAAAGGCTTCGTTTGTGCAGGTGAAGAAAGATGTCTGTTCATTTTATACCCAACTGTTTTAAAGAGGACATATTATCCCCCTCTCCACCTTTTCAAACAGTCCCCTGTGGTCGAAATGAAACATCTGTGCTGTGCTTTGGTCAAATATAACATGAATCAAGCACCAGAGGAGGTTTGGGACCCTGTATAAACCAGCTCTCTCAGAACGCTCCGTTTTGGTGTGTGTGTCTCTTTAAATGCAATGAGCCCCCCCTGAGTTTTCCCAGCAGACGTCACTCCTGAAGCGAGAATAAAAATGGCGGACCTGTGCAAAAGTTTTGTTCTAGGCTGGGGGTGGAGTCCATGGGTGGAGATACCAGGGGAGGGGAGGGGAGTTTTTAAAAAATTTTTTTACCAGAATCCCACTGTGACATCACAAGGAGAGCACATTTGAAACAGAGCATTTTCTCTGTGTTGTAAGACTTATGCCGACCACAAACAAAGGACTGGATGAGTTTATTTCACATTTTGTGGGTCAGTAGACACTCAGGTTACCCAAATATATGTTCAAAACACTGTGAAAGTGGATATTTTATAATGTGTCCCCTTTAAAGCATCTGTCTGCTCAACCTTTCAACATTTCTGCAGACACGAGGCTCGATGCCCTTCTACTGGAGTCAGAGACCCAACCTCAAATACAAACCTAAACCTATTATCAGCAAAACCACCAATCACGTAAGAGCAGACTTTAACGTGTTCCTGTGTGCTTTGGAAACTGTAAAAAAACAACAAAAAAAAACAAGACGCTAACCTCTTTCTGTCTGTGCAGCTGGATGGTTTCCAGAGACATTTCGACTCTCAGCTGCTCATCTACGGGAAGCAAACCATTCTGAACCTGGTGAGGATCCTTTAAAACGGAGCGCTGTGTCGTCTTTATTTGTCTAACAGGAAATACAATAAGTCGTGTTTGTGTCTGCAGGTGAATCAGAAGGGCTCAGAGAAGCCGCTAGAACAGGCCTTTGCTAAGATGGTGTCGGGTATGAACAACGGTATGCTCCAGTAAGTTTCAGCCGACGCCTTCCTCAGAGTCACTGTCAGTGCCGCTCTGACCTCCAGGGGAGGAAATACTGAACTACATTTACTCTTGTTTATGTATCGAAGCGGTTTTTGTGTATTTTTTGTGCACTAAACCACTCCTGAAAGTTCTTAAGTCTCCTCCTCTGTCCTCAGCTACATCGCCTTTGACTTCCACAAAGAGTGCAGTAAGATGAGGTGGGACCGTCTGCAGATCTTAGTGGACTCTGTCGCTGAGACGCAGGATGAATACAGGTAGCTTAACTCTGCTGTTGCGGGATAATGTGGACTCTAATGTACGGTGAAGGAGCTGATCATGATCCCTCTCCTGTGTGTGTGTGTGTGCGAAGTTACTTCATGGTGAACCCCGAGGAGAAGACGGTGGCCCAGCAGAGAGGAGTGTTTCGCAGTAACTGCATGGACTGCTTGGATCGGACCAACGTGATCCAGAGCCTGCTGGCCCGGCGCTCCCTGCAGTCCCAGCTTCAGAGGATGGGCGTTCTGAATGTGGGTCAGCGGATCGAGGAGCAGGCCGAGTTTGAAAAGATCTACAAGAACGGTAAGAACCTGTGTGTGTGTGTGTGTGTGCGCTCGTCTGTTAGCATGTAGCTTTGTCTTTAGCAGATGGTATAACCTCTGTGTGTGTGTGTGTGTGTGTGTGTTCTTGTGTGTGATCTCTAACAGCATGGGCTGACAATGCCAATGCATGTGCTGTGCAGTACGCCGGAACAGGAGCCCTGAAAACAGACTTCACCAGGTACAGTACGGTGACATCACACACACACACACACACACACACACACACACACACAGCTGTAGTGCTACCAGCTGGTCGGTTGTTTGATCACAGTCTGCTCCTCCCTCAGGACGGGGAAGAGAACCAGGTTGGGGCTGCTGATGGACGGCTGGAACTCCATGATCAGATACTACAAGAACAACTTCTCTGATGGATTCAGACAGGTACAGGCAGCGTTGCAGAGGACACATAACGGAGCTTCATCTGAATCCAAGCTGAAGGATTTGTGTGGTCAACCCTGAGATTTTCGAATAACTCCAAAGAGTTACTTAATCTCACTTTTATTTTCCTGATGGTTTCAGGACGCCATCGACTTGTTTTTGGGCAACTTCGCTGTGGACGAGTCCGACGGTCCGACTCCTCTTCGAGTGCAGAAGGACTGGAAGTTCCTCACGGTCAGTTCATCTCTGTTTTCTCTGTTTGTAGCAGCCGCTTCTCTAAGTGTGACGTTTAAACTAATGTCCTGTTATCTCTGCAGCTGCCCATCATCATGCTGGTCGCCTTTTCTATGTGCATCGTCTGCCTTCTGATGGCCGGTGAGTTCTTCTTCTTGATATCGTATAAAGGGGGAGGTTGAGCCGGGTGCCTTGCTCTAGGGCAGTGCTCAGGAAGTGAACTGGCATCTCTCCAACTACCACACCAATTTCCAGAAATGGTCCGCACCAGGACTTGAACCTGCAACCCTCCGGTTCCCAACCCTAAAGACTGCGCTAATCCCGCCCACTATTCTGTCTGATGTCCAGCAGGGGGGGGGGGGCGACTCTCCTGGTTGATAAAGTAGTTTGATAAAATGCTCCTGCTTCTCAGTTAATTTCCGCATGCATTTTTGTTCCTAGTCTCTAGTTTCAAGTCTTCTTCGACACAGCATGAAGATCATTTTGTAAATTTTGGTCCCATTTAGAGTCAAATAGATCATAAAGCGGGATCGGGGTTAGGGAAGGGTTACCTGTGAATGACATGTCACTGCCACAAGGGCCTGAAAAAATCTTAAGCCGTTTTCACATATGCACTCCGGATAATATCTAGAAGGCGACTCTAGATATTAGAGTCCTCCGGAGCCTCCTAGAGTCCTACCCTCCAGGTAGCCAGATCTCCTGACTTTTCAGGAGATTTCGTATGTGTGAAAAGGGTTTTAATCTGCCTTTTGGTTCCACTGATAAAACACTAATTGGAGTCGCTGTGAGAAACTGTAGGTTTGAGTTGATTTTGGCGCCCCCCTGTGGAAATAGCACTACCTTTTCTCTCTGTTGATTTGTCCTGTAGATGTGTAAGTGGGTTTTTTTAACCAACAATCCTGCTGTCTTATGAGTCATTGAAATTCCTTGCCTTGAAAAAAAGTTTTTATGGCGTTTTTTTCTGATACTGAACCTGCAGCGGCCGCGTTAGGCATTTAAAATGACTTTATAGACTTAGACAATCTTGTGGCTGATGGTCTGGTTTGCTTTTGTTGGTCATGTAGAGACATCTGTATTCATTTCAGTCTGAGTCAGAAGCAGCAATAATCTCCTGAAAGGTGCTTAAAGTACATTTTGTTATCAGTCTGTTTTAAGCCGTTTGAAATAAGCAAAGTGCCTCAATAGGTCACTTCCTGCTCCACAAAAAAGACAAAAGAGAAAGATGTTAGAACTCTCCGCCTGACTGACTTTGTGTGTGTGTGTGTGTGTGTCACAGGCGACACGTGGACGGAGGCTCTGGCATACGTGATGTTTTGGGGAGCAGCGAGTGCGATCACAGGAACCATCATCATGTTCAACGGGCAGGACTTTGTGGACTCCCCCAAACTGGTTCACAAGGAGAAGATGGACTGAGAGTGTGTGTGTGACTGTGTGTGTGTGTGTGTGTGTGTGTGTGTGTGTGTGTGTGTGTGTGTGAGGATTATATACCTCTTCATCGTCTTCTTCCTCCTCAGATGTGGACTCTCTGGATCTCTCAGACTCTGTGGTGTATCTACAGGATCCTCTGGTGTTCTGCACTCACTCCTAAACTTTACTGAACACGTCCTTCATTTCTCTCGTACCGTCTCTTCTGGGTTTGTTGGGGATCTCTGACGGAACTTAGGTCAACACTACTGTACCGTTAACCATTCTTAATGTTTAAAATCTGTAAAGAAGAAATGTTAGAAAAGGCACCTTTTCGTTTGTTCTTCATCCAACACCTCTAGATTAAAGTCCTGCTCTCTGATTGAACGAAAACTTGTCAACACTAATTTTCAGAACCAATCTTTTTTAATAAATACAGTCTCTGTTCTTTAAATCATCAATGGTATCAAAACTTCAGATTTTCAGTCATTTTTAACTGTGGTTCATTGTTAGGTTAATAAACCTTGTGGAGTCCTGGTTTGAGTCAAACGACTCCTCCGCTAAAGACAACAAGTGACCAGCAGAGGTGTGCAGCGTGACTTTGGGACACTTGGTCGGGGGCTGTGGGTTCAAACTTTGTAACATTAAACATGATCGCAGGCTGCGAGCTCAACTAGCATACTGTTAGCTTGTTAGAGGAATGTAAACTCCACACGTGGTTAAACAAGATTGGACTAGAAGGAGCGACACAGCTGTGCAGACACTGCACGTTGTGAACTCGATAAAAATCATCACACAGGAAGCAGTTTAAACCTCCCAAAGAACAGACTGCGTTTTATCTAGCAGTGCACTTTTATGGTCATTAATAACAATAAGTTACACGACATAGGGTGTGTAGGACTTCTGTTTGTGTTGCCGTGGTGTTGAAAACGTTTGATTTTTACTTGTATTATATCAAAGATTACAAAACTCTCGTACCCTGACACTCCTTAACTCTGCATATTTACTAAAAGTGTCCTGACTCCACTGAGTGAGAGAGAGACGACGATAAACAACCAAACTGAAACTGTGCGGGGCTGAAATACGGCTGCTAAGGTTGTTTTGTGACGTTTCTTTTGACGCCAACACAAAGCGAGAAAGGGGGGGGGTGGTTTTGTGTCCTCGCCTCATGTAACACACTCGGCCATTTCATTCATCATTAGTATGAACATTAGGATCATTGTGAAGCTTTAAGGATGTTTCCTGTCACCGTGTTCGTCTCAGACGGAGGATGAATTCATGTCGGTGAACCCCGAACTGTCACACTAACACATTCCTGATGGATGTCTTGCAGCGTGCACGTCCATGATATGTTTCTAATGTAACCGCCTTACAGATGCATCAATATTTGTCCGTCTGTCTGTGTGTACCTGGAGTGAAATACATGTCGTCCTTTCCGGCTCATTTTATCCATGTGTGTCTCATTTTGCACTTTGGACGCCATCGAGTGATCTCGTCGTTGTTTCATTTTTTATTTCATGCGTTTCGCTGGTTAAACAAACAGAAAAAACGAGCAGGTGACTCGTGACTTTAACGGAGCGTGAGGGGACGACTTACCAACTTCACTGATTTCCAACGTGTGTTAATTACAGAAATCTTTGTTAAATGAGATCAAATGTCCGATTCAAGCGTTAAGAATCTGAACTTTGAACCTGTTTGTAAATCTGTTTTCACGCTAACAGATGTTTTGAGTTCCACGCTCTGATTTTTCTGTTTTTTGTTTACATGTGCAGATTCCCGTTACTGTCACACATTAGAAGAACGATGAAGCTTTAAATATGTCGACATAAAGCTCTAGACGACGTGTTTGTGGTGTTGATTGAGACGTCTGTGGTGCATTATGTACACGTCTCTTTTGTTTCTCCTCCGAAGCCTTCAGATTCAGACCTCATCCTGACACTTCTGTAATTATCAATAAACTCCAGTGAACACACACTGATTGCAAATATAGCACCTCTGATCGTTTGGCTTTTTGCATTTTTCTTCTTTTGGCATTTAACAAACTTTGACTCAACACTCGGACACCATCAGAAGCAATGAGGGTGACTTCACCTTTAAGGACACCGACGTCCAGTCTGATTTACTTCTAGGAGTCAAAGCTTTGTTGTCATTTTACTGATTGGTGAGACAAAATTACAACTCACTGAAGCTAACCTATAAACCTACAAATATCACCTGAAATTTAAGAGTAATTTGGTAAATGGACTTGTATATTTATTTTCTAGTCTTCTGACTACTCAAAGCTCTTTTACACCGCAGGTCACACCTACACATTCACACACTGATGGTAGAGGCATAGTAAAGTGTCCATCAGTATTAACTCATCCATTCATACAGATTCACACACTGCAGACAAAGCAGCGGGAGCAACTTGGTGTTTAGTGTCTTGCCCAGGGACATGTGGCTGCAGGAGCTGGGGATCAAACCTTCGAGCTTCCTGTTAGGAGACAACGGCTCTACCACTAAACCACAGCCGCTCAGTTGTTTTGAATTCGAAACATCAAAGTAATAAAGTCACCAAAGGAGATGAGGCATGTTCTGTCTCTTTCTTCTGTGGGGTCAATGTAAAGGGCTCCTTTTGAGATGATCAACAGCCCTGAAATAAGTCCAACCTTGAATCTGAATTTATTTGTGAATTAGAGACGATGTAATTTAACATGGTTTCAATACAGAGCATGAAACTGAGAGTTTATAGCTGCTTTTACATCGGGAGCCAGGGACTAAGAATCAGCTGATCCGATGAAGGAAGAGGCCAGACTCTACAGTAAGGCTGTAACCGCTCAGAAATGAAGGCAGGTCCCAGGCGACGCAGGGCTTTGTATGTGATTAACAGGAATGCGTTGTACAAATGGACCTTTCACTGAGAGGTGTTAATGACCTCGTGGTTATAAATGGGATGGAAAAATAATGAAAAACCTTTAAGGCAACATTTAAAGCACATATTCAATGTAAAAACTTTGATTTAGGTTAGACTACTTTAGGTTTATACAGTAGTTTAAGAAGCTGGTGAATAAAGGATTCCTCTCCAGAAATGAATATACATTATTGAGATGGTTCCTTTTTGTTATTTTTACACAAAACTGAATTATTTATAACAATATTGTTTATTATAATATTAACTATTATAATAATTATAATATTATAATTATTATTTTATTATTTTATTATATTATTATTATTATATAATAATATAATAACAAAAAAATATAATTTATAATATAACATAATATGAAAATATTGTTTAACAATAGTTTACAGTCAATACCAGGAACAAACAAGTAAGCCATTTAAAATTAGATAATTATCACAAAATGCTGATTAATAACAGGTTATAAAAAAGGAGAATTCAGTGTTTTATTGTTTGTTTGTTTTTAACAACTTTCGTTTAGCAATTTTAATTAACAAACAGGCATTTAAACTGTCGGACAAGTAAGTTGCTCAAGGCAGGATATTTAGATGACAAAATACAATATAGTCAAGAACAACAATATATTTTTGTTAAATAATTTAATAATTTTAAATAAATCAGTAATTAAATTTAAAATGTGGGTGTTTTAATCATAGACTGTAAATAAAACCGTTTTTTTAACGGTTGACGTGGGCTAAAAAAAAGTTACAAAGAAAGTGTACGCTACGTAACTTGTGACGCAATTACGTAGTACTTCCGGTTGGGTGACGCAGCACGTAAAGTTAGCGTTCTTCCTCTAGTAGTGCGCAAAGAGTTAGCATGTGCATGTGTGACTGAAGATTCACCTTAATTCAGATTTACAGACCGTGTTTAAACACATTATATATTGTTCTCATCTTCCGCGGCACCATGAGCACGTTATGGATGGGAAACGTGAGTAAAATGTTTCACTTTTTAACTTTTTTTTTTTTAAAACTGCGATTTAATTAGCTAGCCTAATGTTGCTGCGGAGCAAATTCAGCTAGCTCAACATTAGCTTCATACGTTGTTTGAATGGATTAAAAAAACAAAACACCGTCACTTTAACGTCTCTTTGTTTGTATAGAGCAGCGGGAACACATAAACCCTGGTGAAATATGATTATTTATGAGTGAAGAAACACATATTTAGGCCTCATTAGGATGTAAACATTAGAGAGTTTAGTCTGAAACTACACAAACACGTTGGAGACATTTCAGCTGTTTCTGAGAAGACAAGAGTTTAAACTTTAATAACATTAAAGTAGAAAAAGATTCCACATCTGCATTTATACTACGGCAACAAAAAAAGATCACCTGTGCACCAGATATTTTGTAATTGCTAAAAATGAAAACACTAAACTCTAAATTGCACAAAAATGCTGCAGATCTGTAGTTTCTAAAATAGCTTTCTAGTTTTTGTTCTACTGATCATTAAAATAACAGATTGTATCATTTTTTAAACCCTCTGCACCTTTAAGAAAAAGCTAAAGACCAAGCTCTTTCATGAACACCTACTAACTTAATGATGATGGTTTTTGTTTGATAACAATGACTTGTAAGATGGTTTCTATACTGATTAGAGCTCTCAAGAACTGCCCTCAATGTTGTGCTTTGCCTCTGGTCACTTCCTGTCAGCACCTGTGTGTCCAATCAGACTCAAAGCTGATCATTTGCTCTTATTGACATTGTTCCCTTTTTTTCTAGATCCTTGCTTGTGTTGTTCTTAGTCTCTCGCTTTGGATAAAAGCATCTGCTCAGTGAATTGTAGAATCATGGCGATCTTTGATTCCTGTTTTGATGACACTAAAACCTGTTTTATCTGAACGTCTCCCATACTCATAAGCGGGAAGAGAAAAGCCAGCTGTACAGTAACTCAATGACCTCTGTGTTTCTATGCAGCTGGAGACCTACATGGACGAGAAGTTCGTCACCAGAGCGTTTTCCACCATGGGCGAGCAGGTGGTGAATGTGCGAATCATACGAAACAAGATGACAGGGTAAGTGTTAAATCTGCAGGTGTGTGTGTAGCAGATTGTCATTCTGACGTTAAACAGTGTGTCATCACCCAGGGGGGCCCTGGGCTACTGCTTCGTGGAGATGACGGACGAGGCCACGGCTGAGAGGTGTCTACGAAAGATCAATGGGAAAGCTTTACCCGGAGCCAGTCCGGTAAGAACACATTAAATATTCAAAGCAGACATGTTTGGAGGAAAGACACCGTGGAATTTGTAATGAAAGCCTCTCTCTTTATAGCCCACCAGGTTCAAGTTAAACCGAGCCACTTTTGGGAAACAGGACAGCGGGTGAGTGAAGATGGAATCACTCATGAATATGATGTCAATGATTAAAATGTGCGTCATGTGACTGTGTCTGTTGCTGTCCTCACAGTCAGATGTACTCTCTGTTTGTGGGAGATCTGACTCCAGAGGTGGACGATGGGATGCTCTATGAGTTCTTCTACAACCGTTACCCTTCCTGTCGGGGGGGCAAAGTGGTGCTGGACACCATGGGCAACTCCAAGTGAGTATAAACGCGTCATCAGCATGCAATGAAGGGTTAACGCGATACCAGAATTTACACATTAGATATAGCCTGCTGTGATACCACGGCGTCAAAGACGGGTCTCAGACAACCAATGTTTGTATGTTTCTTGTTTTTATCCACCAAAACATGAAGGCAAACTCCTGCACACGGTCTACATTAATCAAAGAAGTTGTCAACTTTTCAGTAACAAGATATTTCTAATATATTTGTTGGTTTAAACAGGGCTCTCTCTCTTTTTCTTGGAGCAGCTTTTAGTTAAAAATATGACTGTAGATCTGTCGTTTTTAAAGCTCTGGTACTTTATGAATCATTAAAATAATAGTTTGTAGTGATTTCAAACATCAAACTGTAAGAAATCTTTACTTGATTGTGAGGTAGAAAATTAAAGTGATCTTGTTCGGTTGGAGCTGACGTTGATTGTGCTGGTTTGAGAGTTTGCAATGATCTGAGCCGTGTGTGTGTTTCTGTAGGGGTTGTGGATTCGTTCAGTTCCCAGACGAGCGGCTGCAGAAGCGAGCACTGGAGGAGTGTCAGGGCGCTATGGGTCTGGGGAGCAAACCTCTGAGACTCAGTCTGGCTGCAAACAAGTGAGTTCCGCTCAAACTGTATTCAACTCGTGAGCTAGAAAATGATCGTTTCTATATTCCTCACAAGTCTGTTGTTGCTGAGCGTTGTGTCCTTCTCCTGAGTTTAAGGAACCGTCAGCAGCAGTCAGAAAACAAATCGTGGCAGCCCGGCTCCTCTTACAAATACAACTACGACCACTACAACCAGTACAACCAGTACCAGCAGCAGGCCTACCCCGGCTACTACAACTCCTGGGGCTACGACCAGAACGGAGCGGGGTACGGTTACAACTACCCGCAGTATGATTACTCACAGTATGCTGCCCAGGTAAGACCTCTCTGTGTTTACACCTTACACACAGTCAACGTTAACACACATGAACCTTTCTAACACAATTTGTCTTTTCAGGAAGCTGAAGCTGAAACTGAACCTGTGCAGGATGACGGGATTGAAGGCAAGTGTTCAAGATTGTCTTTTCCCCACAGTTTCAATGTTAACCTTTAGTATGTCAGTTAGATTTTCACTTGTCAAAGACGCCTGACTCCACAGAAGGGTAGCAAAGAATGTGACTGTGCGGGTCGGTCATTTTGGTACTTTACCCAACTGTTGACTCTAGAAATGCCAATAAATAAACCGGACCACTTGGTTGAAATGGGGAAAGTCATTTGGAGCCCAAATAGGCCCCAGAATGAAAAATACTTCCACTTTGCATACATGTATGTGGTTAGCGTGTGTTTTTATTGTGCATACAGTCCGATCTGTGTCGTCTAACTTTGTGTCTTGGCTGCAGATCCCAGTCCGGAGCTGGACGTGGTGGAGGCAAACAGGAAGTTCATGGAGCTCAGTGAGGAACTTTACGACGCTCTGATCGACTGTCACTGGCAGCCTCAGGAGTTCTCTGCCGAACAGGACTTTATGGAATCCAGTCTGCCGGAACCGATCTCCTGCTGAGACCGGACTCTTCAGACTATACCCCCTCATGGGGACGATCGGCTGTCTGCTGGCGTGTTCATAGTGTGGATTATTTTTGTAAGGACGTAATGAAACGTTGGATTGAAGCCTGCTAATGTGTAAAATGAATACAAACATCTCTAAGTCTCATCAAGAAATATTTATGATTTATTCAGAACACACATAAGGTTGTCAGAAGTTTTGATACTCAGATATTTTTCGGTACCCTGTGTTTAAGAGGGAAATGTTATTGTAATGATTAAAAGAATCAAAAGTACCAATGCTTGTCAGGGTGCCGGTAGCCTAGAGCACGCCCTCCATTAGCTGAGGCTTAAGTCCTCAAGAGGGGGCGGATCTGTGTGTAGTCCTGTCCTGTCAAGCATTAAGGAAAACTTCAGATCTTTGGTCGTTTATAAACCAAAAGCTCCTGAGTGACAGAGAGAGAGAGAGATTTCTGTCCAAATCGTACAAGTAATTTGGAATTGTTTTGGTACCAATGTTTGGTCAATTCATTTGTCCATTTAGACCATGTGCAGAATTTGTTTTCAATTTTTTTGTAATAAAAAAAAACAAGAAATGATCCAATGGGGTGCCCAGGACTCCTGTTTTTGAAGTTCCTCTAAACGGGAAATGTTGAAACTGACACTTCATCAATCAAATCATAATAAAGTTTAGCAAGCTGGGTATTGTGAAAACTTTAGAACAGACTGAATCCAAAGAAAAAAGTTAATGTATGACTAAACGACTCCAACCAATCAGAGCACAGAAACATGTGGAGTAACTGTTGATTAGTGGACAACGAAGCAATTACAGAGATCCATTTGATCTGTCGTATCGTTTATGTCAACGTGCCGATGTTCAACATGCACATGAGCTGGATAGACGTTAATGTGCTGACAGATTCATAACTTTCTACATCAGCGGCAGCCATCTTGGATGTTTGTTCCTTTCCTTCATATCATTCCCTGATTTCAGACTTCATCCACTGTCCTGTTTTTAAATAAAGTTAAATAAAACTTAAAAGACATTTTCTAGACAAATTGGGGCATAAAACTCCAGAATACAAGAAATGGTTGCACCTTAAGTCATGAACACAAAAGAGGAAATAATAATGATCAGACCTGGAACACAGATCGCCTCCTCAGGGTTTTCATAGGCGTGACTCGAGGAGGTTAAATAAGTAAATGAATAAAGCTGTACATGTTCTCTGTGTTTGCATGTTTAGTGAGGGAACAGACTACTGGTAACACTGAAGGTGACACTCACAGACACACGACATCTTGATTTCTCTTCAGTAACTTTATTCACTGTGATTAAAATACATTCACTGACAGCTCGTCATGCCATCCCGTGGTTTACACAAACGATAATGAACAGGAGAACAGTGTTAAACACTCGTCTGATCACATGAAGGATCATCACCATCACGTTGACTTCCATCATAGAAGCGTCTTGTTTAAAAGGCTGCAGGGTCTGTAGGTCTGCCAGTGACACCTGGTCAATAGAGGGCGCTACGGCACCGCAAATCCCCACAGGTAGACGGATAAAACTTCACTGAATACGATTTTTCCTAAATAAGTTTAAAATATTTGAATATTTGAAGGTTGATATTATGTCTTGATAAATGTATAACATGAAAGTATAAGTGCACATGATGATGTTTGTTCATTATTTTAAGTAAATGGATCGTTTCAGAAGTTAAAATTACTGCGACCGCGATGCTAATTCTGTTAGTCAGTTAAAGGGATTTTCCATTATGTGTTAGCATCAAGCTAACAATCTAAAAATGTACATCCCGGTTCATCCGTGAGATAATATAGATACAATAATGAGAATAAGTTATGTTGTAGAGAAAAACCTGGATAGGTTTAAAGGAGCCGCACACCAAAGTCTGAGGAAGAGCATGTTGGCTAAATGGAAGCTCATTGGCGCGTGTGGGTCTTTACTTCTTTTTACCTGTTCAGGTGTTTTTGGGCTCAAGCACCCACTGAGGGATGTGCATGTCTTTTTAGATTTTTCATAGAAAGGAAACCAGCCTTCATATCTTGAGCTAATACGATAATTGAATCTTTTATACTAAGAAAATTAGGTTTTTTTTAAGTGACAGGGAAATGATGCACAGAACTCTAGAAAACGGGATTTGCTCATTATCAGGGGAAAACGCAGTAAATAAAATGTGTGGGTGAATGTCTGCTCCGGGCTTCCGTAGTTTTAAAAGCGAACGAGAACAATAGAAAGTCGTTTCAACAGTCACGTGTGTTTTAGGCCGTAGAGGAAGAAGACATCTGAGAGGTCAAACAGCACCAGTATTAAATCTGCCTTCAGACTACAGAATACAAACTGTGCACACAGTAAAAGTGAATCCATCCAACATACTCTTATTGTGACAGGGATCTGTCATTTCCTGTGGCTGTCTCTGTTGCTGTAATATCTCTGACTACACGTTTTTTTTTTTTATAGTGGAAGAATAAATGAAACATGTTCAGTAACACTGATCTGTATCATAACCGTGTTATACTTTTCTTTACGTCCGTCGCTGTGTTCATGTCATGTGAGGAAAAAACAGGAAGGAAACTTTTATTTTGACACATTCTTGGTTTTTTGTTTCGACCTCGAGCTGCTGCCATCAGCAGGTGTATTGTCACTTGAGATTTTCCCACGAGCCAATCAGTGACAAGCAGGAGGCTGACATGTTTTTTTTCCTCCAAATGGTCATATTCATGTAGTGGCCATTTTCCTCTGACGTCACATACTGGAGTATCAAGGTAGAGCAGTGGTTCGCGATCTTTCACAAAACTCTGGGTTGCAAGTAAACATTAATTTAAGACCACATGTGAGGAGTTTATTTTTCTCAGTGTACGACGTGTACGGCGAGGTGATTAACAAGGCTGTAAGTTAAAGATGGACGCATGACGCATGGATGGGAGACGGACAGTAAAATCTTCCTGAAATCTTTGTGCAGGTAAATTAAATGCTTCATTAAGTGTTTTGTTGGCCAGTATGTTCTATGTAGGTCGTACCAGCTGTTGGTCGGCCAGGACACCGTGTCACGCTGGATTATCAGAGGAAAATGGCCGCTGTGTAAATATGGGGAAGTGACCTCCATATCTACTCTGACATGACATGACACCACAGCGAGCAGGGTGTGTGTGTGTGTGTGTGTGTGTGTGTGTGTTGAGTTCAGGGGACTGAGGATTCTATGGGCTCCACCTGAGGTTCAGTGGGTGGAGTCGAGATGTCCTCCACCTGATCTGAGTCTGGTTCAGTCACAACCACCTCGACCTGCTGACAGAGAAGAGTGATGTGTGAGCGTGTAAAAAGTCCAGTTAGCAACGTTAGCACCAGCGCTAGTTTGGTTATGTTTGCACTAATCTCATGAAAACAAAAGTGACAGCGTTGCACAATGACGTCACACTGGAAGGAGCTTTCCAAAAAGAGCGACCAGCAGTCATCTACCGATTCATTCATGATACTCTCTCGATGAATCAGCAACAAAAGAAACATACAAAGTATGAGGAAACATCCTCAGAACGCAAAGAATACGTTCTTCATACCTGACATGGCTCGGCTGCAGCTGGAGCAACATAAACAGCTGGAGCAGCCTCAACAGCTGGGACAGGTGGGGGGCGACTCTGTGGGTAGACAGGTCTCTGGCTTGGACTCTACGGGACACACACATACACAGACACATCATTTGGTAAGAATAAGGTTTATCTTACGCTTTTACTGAACTCCTAAAAATCAAGTTAAATCAAAGATATCAGGAAATCAAAGAAAACAGAAAGGAAATAGTGTGAAGACACCTCTTGGTACTCTGCTGCCCCTAGAGGTCAAATGTCAGATGAATCTTTCAGGTATCAGAGCTCACCCTTGTTCCACCAGCGGCGAGGACACTGAGTCCAAACAGCATGGCGGTGATGCAGATGAGCAGCTCCAGGACCAGGAAGATCACCAGCGTCCCCAGGATCCCGTCGATCAACAGCTGGAGGAGAAATCATCGAGAAAGGCCCGGTGAGAACGCAGGAGGAGAACTCACACCGAACTCACACAGGGTTTGATGATGTGACTCTGCTGATTCTACAAACAGTGAACCTATCACACCAAAGTATAGTTATATAGTCACTTACTTTACACTTTTGCTCGACCAGCCCGGTGCATTTCCTGAAACAATGTTGCTGCAGTGAACAGACAAAGAAACATGGAGTCTGTTTCTTCATAACATCAAGTGTCAATTGTGAATTCATTCAATTGCCTCCAATTGGTGCTGCAGTGATTAGTCAAATGATAACGAACACTGACATTTCTGATGTTAAATTAAAAGTTTCGATCATTTTGTAAAGCAAAAATGTAAACATGTTTCTGGTGACAGCTCGTTAAATGTGAGAATTCGATGCTTTTCTTTGTCTTTAGGGCTGTAGATGGGCTGTATGTTCTACTTCAGCATCAGTTAATAATTAAAAATAACTTTTATGAAGGTAAAGGATTCATTTTTTTTACCATATAACGTATGATAAAAAATTAAGTATCATAACTTATCATAAGGAAATAGTGTTTATGTCACTGTATAAAGGAAATGTGAATTAAAATATCAAATAATACACCGCAGTGAAAAGCATTGCAGACAATTTAAGGAGAAGTATGTGGAGGTTAGTGGCATCTAGTGGTGAGTTTGCAGATTGCAAACATCTGATAAAACTGATCTGTGATTGGTCTGTCAGTGGTGGAAAATATGAGGAACTAGCGTTGTAGTCTCACCTCACTAACTGCAACAGCTTCCGATGACCAAAATGACGATTTTTGCGCCATCGGAGGCTCCTTTTCAGACTTACAATATACAAAGATTTCCCATCTCAGGGGAAAATGAGGGTGGGATGCACGACCATTAAAAAATACTACCAGGTTTCTAATAATACAAAGCTTAATGCAAATGGGTGAAGTATCCCTTTAAGAGTTGCGTTCATCTGTTTGAAGTTGCTCTAGAAACATGGAAGTCATTGAGGTAGACCAGCAGACCAGCAACTTCCATGTTCTACGATGTAGAAGTGTTTTCAGTAGAGTCTGGCTTCAAGGGAATGATTTAACACTTGCTCCTTTTTTTCCAGCTGTTTGGGAAAATTCCGAGAATAATTGGTAAACCCATTTTTAAAAAATATATATTTCTGTTATTTAGCAAAACTTTGAGGAAGTTAATTTCTCTATTGAGAAGTCAAATTATTAAAAAATAAATTAATAAAAAAAACCTGAACACTGCAGCTAAACATGTAAACAGATTGTTGTTACATAGGTAGGAACATATTTCTCTCCTGCAAACATTGTTTCAGTCTTGCACCAGACAAGACTCATATCGAAACAAATCGATTACTTTCAGCCCAAAACTGAATTTTCTGGCACAGATTTCGTCTTGTTGTTAAAATCAATAAGCTTTCATTTCAGTTTTTGCCCAGGTTCATATTTAAAGATGTAATCCAGTGTTTTGCTGTTGATGTATAAGTCATAATCAGTAACCTTTAAACTGCTTTGAGACAGCCTTTCCTTTTGGCGCAACTTAGAGCTAATGGATCAAATCTAATGATAAATCTAATAAACGTGTTTTAGGGGCATTACCACGGCATGCAGCTCGAGCTTGCGGCAGTGTTCACAGTGGTACGAGTCCTGACGGTAGGGCAGGTGTTTGGACATCAGACCCAGAGCAGCTGTGGCGAATGCCGCACTGATGAGATGAAGGATCAGGACGCATTTCACCTGAAGAAAAACAGCAAACAACACACCTGCATTGAATTTTTTATTTTTCTACTTTCACTCCTCTGAAGTGACTTTTTGACATGATTTCTTTCCTGGGAAAACTCTTAAATGACATTGGTATCAGGACGAGACAGTGGGATGGTGCAGGAACTATAATGCAAAAAGTTCCCAGTGTAATCTTTATAGATATCTCAGATGGAGTCCGACAAGGCTCTGTTTTAGGCTCTGTTTTATTTTCTATTGGAAACAACAGCTTGGTGCATCTTTATGCAGATGATACAATTGTCTATTTAGTAACAAAGTCAGACTGCTGATGGGTGTTAGACCTACTTTCAGCAGCTGCAGGACACATTTCAAGTTCTTTCAGGTTCTTCTTGATGCTAATAAAAAACATTCATTCTCCTTTTTATGTTCTAGATCTAACCAACTCACTTTGTACTTTGGAGAAACAGAACAGCAGATTGTAGTTTTCAACGACGCCTGATGAATCGACCTAATTGTTTATGAGCAGTAGTCTACATCCCTGCATGACAGTAACACAGAGTTCTGGTTTGATTCAGACTCACCCAGAACAGAGTCGGTCTCCTCCCGCTGTGGATCAACACCGACCCAGACAACGTCACCTGGAGGGTCACAGTAACATTGACTGAGATTTAGCATTTAGAGGAAATCAAAGAACGGTGTTAGGTGAAGTTATATCTCAATAAAATGCTGAGAAAATAAGAAAGCATGGTTATACCTGTATGACCACAATGAGGAAGAGGGCCACGTCTCCTGTGAAGTGGACTTCATGGATCTGCAGCACAGATGCACTCAGACACAGAATCAGACCCCCGATAACCACCTGGATCGCCTGACAGGTAAACAGCAGGTAAGGTCAGCGCGGTTACAAATTAAAAGTGTGTGTGTAAAAGCGCTGGAATATTATCAGTCGCTTTGAATCAGAAAACTCATTTTTTCCTGTGTTGTTCTCCTGGACCATGTGGGGTTTTAATTATCCACAAGGCTTCCTGTGTCTTTCTGTGGAACACATGTTTGCATGTATTGTAAGTTTGAATCCCTAACACGTCAGGGTATAAACTGTTGGTTTACAGACTTACTCCAAGAGTCTTGGGCTCCATCTTGAGCAGACTCTGCAGCTGTCCCGGGGCGAGGTTCCCCACCGGAGGCATCGGGTCTTTGTCGTTCTGAGCCATCGTGCTGCTGATGGAGACACAGAACACTTCAGTGGTGGACAAAGTAAACAGCTTCATCACTTATAGTGAGTATATGTAACCATCTGCTGGATAAATGCATGTCTTTCTAGGTTCTGGAGGAGCAACGTTGTGAGCATAATAACCATGTGTACCAGTAAATAAGAATTTTACATTACATTTACACAAACATGGAAATAACAAACTGGGCCCTTTAAAAGAAAATAAATTGTCCTTGTATTTGGTGTCCTTTTAGAATAGTGAGAGTCAACTGTAAATCCAGTTCATACAGAGGTCAGCTCTGCTTTAAGTCAGAGTTTGGTCCGAGTCCACGCTACGTTTGTGTTTGAACTGGTACCTAGGGTGGCTGGGAAGTGCAAAACAAAATTACAAAGTGTGAAACACTTTTACAAAATGTGAGACAAATTTACATTTTGAAAAACATTTTTACATTTTATAAAACAAAATGACAAAACCCAAAACTCTTTAACCAAGGACAAAACAAATGTACATGATGTGAAACACTCTTACAAGCACTGAGACAAATTAACAAGTGACAATTATGAACTAAGACAATAATTATGTTGTTAATGACTCTTTCAATAACTATTTTAACCCGTTTTTACCAGCAGGGTTACACATACATCCTCCTGGGATCCTGGGATGTGTCAGTGTGTAATAAAAGTTTCCATAAGGGCTTCAGGCCATTTACAGCTGGCTCGTCAGAGGTCCACATACCACTGTTTGGGAACCTCCGTCCCACAGTATCATCATGCTGTTTGTCGAGAAAGGGAGCAGGCCCCTCTGAGAAGAAGGAGCTCTGTGTGTGTGTGTGTGTGTGTGTGTGTGTGTGTGTGTGTGTGTGTGTGTGTGTGTGCTTCGACATTTGCAGCATCATCCACACAGACTGCATCAGCTCTGATCTAAAGCTGCTCATGTGTCTGCTCTGAAGGATAACTTTGAATCCTCACCTGCAGGAATGATTCAGCAGAACAAATATTCCTGCTTCTTCACAGGACATCAAGATCACGCTGACTGTGCTTGAAATATTAATGTGCTGACTTGCAGGATATTCCAGAATAAGCAGTCGACATTTTTTGTTTAGTCTGCACTAAAAAGGTTTCTATCATGCATTTCTACTGGAAGCACGTAACACACCGAGCTGAGACATTCAGGTATAACCACTGAGATGTTTGAGGTTATTAAAAACATCCACAGCTGCAGCACAGAGCGGGGAGGCGCTGATGGACCGCAGTCACATCTGACTCAGCTCCAAGAACACCAAAACAAAACTCAGGCCGATCCGGCTCATCTGGGCTACATTTTTAGCAACAATCCCCCCCCCTCCCCCGCAGCACTGCAGCGACTACACCAAAAACTGCGCGTACATAAAAGCAGCATCAGGCAAAGTCACGGCTTCTCCTCCTCAACAATGACACCTCAATGTCACCCAAGTCCTGTCCCGGTTACTCGGGACAAAAAGCGGTGAACGGATGAACTTACCTGCAGCCGTTTATCTCTGATGTCAGTGCAGGTGTGTATCAGAGGGCTCTGAGTGTGCGCGTGTGTGAGGATGGTCTGCAGGATGCTGCAGGGTGTGTTCACGAGCTGCTCTCACTGCAGCACTCGGAGAGACTCGGACTAGTTTCTGTCTGCAAGGTCCCACACAGACTGCAGACAGCGCGCGGGGCGCCTGTGACGTCACAGAATACCTCTTTAAAAAAAAAAAAGTCACACACTGAAGTTTTATTCATCTTAAATTTACAAGTTTATTATTCACAGGGGATTGAAGAGGATTCAGGTGACTGACAGGGCCGAATGAGAAGAATGACAATTCATTTGCAGGACTGCAGGACTTAAAACATAATAGCACAAAAACAGGCATTGGCTAAAATACAAAAAATAAAAGAATACACTTATATGATGATGCTGTTTTTTTTAAATTAAATGACAATGACTAACTTTCTGCTTTCATCATCGAATCAAAGCCTGATGGCACCGGTCAGTTATGTAAACTAGAACTTGCCTTAAGGACGTTAGGACCTGGATGACCAGAAATGTTTTGCTACTTAACTCTGAGAAGACTGAAGTTATTGTGCTAGGCCCTAAAAACCTCAGAGAGACTTTTTCTAATGACGTGACTGTCCTTAATGACATCAGCCTGGCATCTAGCACCACTGTTAGGAATCTATTTGATCAAGACATTTCCTTTAACTCTCACATCAGGCTAATTTCAAGGATAACCTATTTTCACCTTCATAATATATCCAAGATCAGGAATATCCTGTCTCAAAATGATGCAGAAAAACTAGTTCATGCATTTGTTACCTCCAGATTGGATTATTGTAACTCTCTTTTGTCAGGGTGCTCTGGTAAGTCTCTAAAGACTCTTCGACTAGTCCAGAACGCTGCAGCTCGTGTACTGACTAGAACTAGGAAAAGGGACCACATTACTCCTGTGTTGTCTTCTCTGCACTGGCTCCCTATACAATCTAGAATATAATTTAAAATCCTTCTTCTCACTTACAAAGCTCTAAATGGCCAGGCACCAGCTTATCTTAAGGAGCTACTAGTGCCGTACTGCCCTTCAAGAACATTACAGTCCCAGAATGCGGGCCTGCTCGTGGTATCTACAGTCTCTAAATGTACTATTGGAAATAAAGCCTTCAGTTATCAGGCTCCTCTCCTTTGGAATCATCTTCCAGCCGGGGTCCTGGAGGCAGACACACTCTGTATTTTTAAGAGTAGACTTAAAACTTTCCTTTTTGATAAATCTTATAGTCTATCCCTCTTCCTGCATTTTATCCCATCTCTTCCCCTATCCCTTTCCAACCCCGGCGCAGTCTAGGCCTGTGAAGGCTGTTTCGTCATGAGCCGGGGATCCGGCCTGAAGATTTCTGCCTTTTAATAAGGCAGTTTTTTCTTACCACTGTAACTTTTGCTGCTTTGCTAAAGTGCTCATGATGGATAGGCTGGATCTTTGTAATATACCAATGAGTATGGTCTGTACCTGCTCTTTTGTAATGTTAAAAAACAAAGAGTAAGGTCTTTTACCTGCTTTTTGTAAAGTGTCTCGAGATAACACTTGTTGAGTTGCCACTATACAAGTACAAATTGATTGATTGATCATTTATCTGATTATTTGTTTAATTTTATACTTTTTATTCTTATTTTACTCTCAATTATAAAAATATTTATATAATACGTTTTTTGTTTTATGTAGGCTACAACTTACAGGTTTTCCTTATCCTAACAGTTAGTAAATTTTTATTTTTTTACTTGAATTAATTATTTGTATTTATTAATGTGCATTAGATCCCCATTGGTTGTTACCACAGTAACTTCCTGTTGTCCATACAAAAGAAAAAAATACCCCAAAATAATGAATCTCAACAACCTTTGTTTTAACTCTAACTTTATTAACTCTTTTAATCTTTTTGTGCTTTGTTCTGATTTTATTAATAATTGTAAACATAACCGTTGAATATATAAATAAAGTTATTCACTGATTATTAACTCGAGTGTTTGTTTTATTCTGAGGATCCTCTGACACTCACACTGATCACTAAACAATAACTTGTACAATAACAATAATGTTTTTAAAGGTTTTAGCCACGAGGGGGCGCCAGAAGACAACATTTCTCTGGCAGCGGCAGAAAAACACATTTTGGAAACTAATTCTTGAATCCTTTGATAATTCAAGTTTCTTATGGGGCTGAACAAAGTTTATATTCTGTAAAAAGAGAGACAGACCACCACACCAAGTCACACCATGCACTTGTAGCCAGTCTGTCTTTATTTTTACAGTCTATGGTCTTAACACTCAGTGTGCTACTCTCTCTGCGTTGTGCTGTGTATGGATGAGACTAAGACCAAGAGCTTCCTTGCCAACTGGAGCAGATTTATTATCACACCATCTGTGTAAAATAAAATACATTCAGCACATTCATACGACTGGGCTTCAACATGCACACCTCCCCTCAGCGGGGTCTCAGGCCGTCTCACACAATGCATGGGTGTGCTGTGACATTCTTTTTTAAACGAGAACAAAAACTAAATAAAAAGTATAAATTGTTTTTCAGCTTATTTCTTACTCAACAGTGGCAATTTTGTGTTTTTGTCAAAACTGAAAATGTACTTAAACAGCTACGCTAACATTCTTATACTGTACACTTCACGTTATATCAAAATAACAAAATAATTTGTGACTTTTGGTGAATTATAAATAGTTTCGACAAAACATTTTAACACACCTGTTACACACTCACACACAAGTCTCACGTATCCAAAGTGATTCATCTTGAACTTTTATGTGCTTACTCAGATTTTAATGTACTTTTTAAATATTTCCATCTTAAGAACCTGTGTTTTTACAGTGTGTCCTGTGCTGCTATGAAGCCGTCCTAACTGCTGTGGGTGTGTGTGTGTGTGTGTGTGGACAGCAGCAGTTCTGTGTTGTTGTCACAGCTGTGTTCAGCTTCATGTTGTCTCTTATCTCAGTTCAGTCGAGTTTGGGAGACGGCAGCTGCAAAACATGTCCACAGTAATAACACCATAGAACCGTATGATAAACGTGATGTTTCTAAGTCTCTGTCTTATAATCTATTCTTAAATGTGGCTTGAGCCCAGAGAGAGTATGCGAGATACTTCCTGTCAATTTGTGGAGTTTTTCTAGTTCGTAAAATCACCTGAATCTGTCAGGCTGTCATTAACTAGTTAATACAGATGAATTAAGGTCTGAAATTAAATCATTAATATATTAAAATAAACTCAGAGACACACAGAGGACACCTTCAGTTTTTATTCCTGTGCTCGTCACACAGTTTGGACACTTTGTTATCATCACACCTTGAACAGTCATACCAAATCAGAGCAGCCGGTGACCGTACAGTCAGACCTCCTCACCGAGACCTCTGCATGGTTTTAAGTATCTCACCAGTCATTGTCTTCATCGACTTATAGACAGGAGGACACTGATGCTAACACATGGAGAAAAAACAGACTGAAAACCTGAAATGATCTGCAGAAAAATAACCACCAACAAGTTAAAACTCGCTGATGATGATTGTGCTGACAGAAGCAGAAGTTATGAGAATTTCTTTAGAGATGAGACATCGAAGGGTTAAAATCTGTCCTGATTATGAACAGTTCGGGGAGTTTTCTAAAAGGTCACATATTATGCAAAAAACACTTCACCATGTTGTTCTAACTCCAACATGTGTCCCTTGTCGGTCTAGAAACCCACCAATGATGAGAAAAGTTTACATTTAAAGGTACAGACACAGAAACAGCATGTTCTGAGCAGGGCTGAAATAGAGGGGTTTATAGACATGATCAAATACAGGATCAGAGTGGATTTAGAACAAGAAACTTCACACACATGTTTTGGGGAGCTCTGACAATTATTTAAACTGATTGAAGAGGGGGAGAATATGTGACCTTTAACCTACTAAACTTAAACTCCTTCAGGTAAATTTCTTGGCAGGTGTTTTATGACACTTTATCCTCAGGGACTGACAATGAAAAAAGACTTCCGGGTTGACTGTTTCCGTGTGCAGATGAATTTGTTTATGATTAAATGTCTCCTCCTGACTTCTCTTCCACATGAACACAAACCTTCAGTCGTTACTGATGTTTCCTAAAATATCAGTTTGGCAAAGTCAAAAAAAAACATTCCGAAGAGATTTATTTTTGTCAGATTTCTGAGATGAAAACAGCTGCTGACTCGTCTTTATTTTCACAATCCACAGAGGGAGTTTAAAAAAAATGTAACATCGGTCTTCACATTTGGTTCATTTGACCTCCTGAGAATTACTAACCTCATGAAAAGAGACTGAAAACTGTGGCTTCAGTTTGTGGCTTCATATCAAAGTTTCTTCTCTGAAACCTCTTACAGTCAGGTGAACTCGTACTTTACAGCGCAGACGAACTGAGTCAGTGTGTGGAACAACACAAAGTACCTTCACAGATTGTTCATCACATTTTAAACATCGTTCATCTGACTGACAGGTGTCCTCACAGGTGTACCAAGATTCTAGTGGTTCGGTTCTTTCACACATGCACAAAACTCCTGTGTGAACAAAAAACAGCCCCCCCCCCTGTCAGCAGGAATCATCTCCCGCTGCGAGGTGCATGTGTGAACAAGCAAGTGAGGAAGCATTGCTGCATTCTGCTTTAAGTACATGTGTGAAAACAGCTTAGCCTTTTAAACAGAACCTCCAACAGGACTGACAGAGAGTCACCGTGGTAACAGGCTCCTCCCACCTCTCAGGTGTAACAGTGAGTGTGTGTATCAGTGTGTGTTTTGTGTAACTGTCAAATGGGGGTGTTGGGTAAATGTCCGTTAGACCCCGTCAGAGCCCCGTTACTAACCAGCACCCCCGCCTGTGCACTGTGCGGGGTCTTCCCGTTTCGTTTGCTCGCACAGGGGCCCCTGAGGGCCTCCTGCTCCATGGATGTCCTGCGGCCTCTGGGGGGGGTTCCCGCTTGGGGGGCGGTGCGGCTGCGGCAGCGCTGTCTGAAGGTGTAGAGCAGCACGGTGATCAGCAGGCTGACACACAGGAGCAGCAGCACAGACACCACCACCAGCTCCTTCAGGTAGGAGGGACCCCGTGCAGACATCAGGGGCCCCTCCTCCCAAAGCTTAGTCCCTCTGAGCCCTGACTCCTGAGTCCACAGGGCGGGGTCTCTGTCCTGCTGTGGGGTAGGGGTCTGAGCATCTCTGCTTGACTGTGTGGGCTCAGTCCTCCCCAGTTCTGATTCTTCTGAGGTTCCCTCAGAGAGCTTCGATCTGGGCCCCGGTCGGGCCCCCGCCTGAGTGACAGGGTGCGAGCTGGGCTGGGACTGAGCCGTGTTGCTGCTCTTCTGTCTGACGTGATAGATGGCCACGGTCTGCTGGAAGCCGTTCTCCGTGGACAGGCACAGGTAGTGACCCAGCGTGGTGGGCGTGGCCACAAAGCTCAGGCTGCCGTCCTCCAGGTGCAGGTACAGCTCGGAGGACAGACGGCTGTTGGGACGCTCCCACTGCTGCCGGGACAGACGGGAGGACGGGGGACACTGCAGCCGGACCACCTCGTTCAGAGAGACCGAGACCAGCTCACCTGCAGGACACGAAGCTGATAATACAGATTACATCACCAAGACCACCCAAACACAGAGACCCCCAACTAAAAAAAGTACCAAAGATTGTTTTGTGTAAAAACACGTGGTATCAAAAAGTAGCAACGCCTCCACACGGTGACGATGACGTGATCTCTGAGAGCTCACAGCACAAACACAAGGATCAGTCTGCCGGGTCTTAACGTGCGGTGAGGAAGTCTCTAAAGCGAGCGAGGAGCAGAGCTGCTGCGTCTGAAATCTCACTCCCTCCCCCCCCCCCCTCCCAGTGAGCTCTGTAGAGGACTATGAAGGGAGTTCATTGGCAAAATTATTTTTTAAATTAATCTTATAACTACAGTTTCCTGCAGGTAAGCAGCAGAAGCAGAGCAGCAGGTAAGATGGTGACTCACCTGCAGACAGTTTGTTGGGGCTGAATCTGGCTCTGTGTGTTAACGACACGCTGCTGCACGCCTCCTCCACGTTCCCTCGGTCCACGTCCTGAACTCTGAGGAGGAACAAAACACACAGTCAGCACAGGTAAGACGCGAGAACGAGCTGAGACTTTAGACTCCTGAGGACTGAATGGTTGAAACTCACAGACTGCTTTTGGAGTTGGAGACCCTCACGCAGGCCCTGCTGTTTGGGTCCCAGCCACAGAACGGGTCTCGGGCCAGAACACACTGAGGACAGGTCCAGTACGCAGAGCAGTTGGCTGTGGGGACCCTGACCACCCCCTCGGACGTGCCCACATAGATCACTCCCTGCACACACATTTTAGATTAGAGCCGTTTCATCAAACATGCTGCACAAACGAGAGACCAGGGAGGACATTCACTCTGATGAGTCTCACGGCGAACATTAGGGAGTCAGGTGTGTCAGAGAACAACACGTTTAACAGAGTGATTCCACTGAGACGATAAATCCACAGAGTCAGAAACACACTCGGCACGCAACATGACTTCGACCAATTAGTGTCAATCAATGACATCATGCTGAGCAGCTGAGGCACAAACTGGATGGATTAAAAAGAGCTGATGGCTTTTCATTTGTTGTTTAAAAATCCTGAACCTCCCTTTAAGTTCAGAGTGTCAAAACTACTGAGGGTGAAGGGTTAAAATGAGGGCAGAGCAGCAGAAAGGAGAAGAGGCCAACTTCCTTCGACTAACGGGCAAATCTGTGTCAGACTGATTTTCTTTTTTGAGGAAATGAGAGCAACGCAACATTTCTGTTTTTGACACAAAGAAGGAGACGTATCGCTAAATATTGAGAGCAAGTTTGAGTCCTCATTCACAGATGAACATACTGACATTAGTCAGTGCTCTCACCTTTAATTATAGGGTGCATCATATATTATATTGTGCTAACTCTGTGTGAGCAGTGTGCAGGAGTTTGCTGCAGTTATTGGTAATTAAAAATAAAAATAAGCCAACATTAGGGGCCTGGGACTTCTGTTGTAGTTCTTCTTTTTCTACATCGTTTGAGGTCCTGGATGTTAAAGGAACAGAACACTAAGTGACCCAGATCAAGTCACCACAGGATATAAAGGAGCCAGTCTGGTCCTGTTCAGTCCTCTGATGTTGCTGTCGGTCACAGACTGCTGCAGGAGTGCATTGATGATCAGACATCTAACTTTGGATTCATATCTTACAGATTTCCAGCCGGACTCTGTGGACTGTACCTGCGCTGTGGAGAGCTTCAGACTCTTGACGGGCTGCGGCTGCACAAACACCTGAACCTCCTCTACGATGTGAGCCCCGGCCTGCAGCAGCACCGCTTTGTGCAGGTATCCAGACTCTGAAAGACGGCGAGAGAAAGAGTTGAAGGACTGCATCCTGTGAGACCATCGTGCAATAAAAACACCAGGTTCTGTTGTCATGGTTACATGTTCTTTAAAACTTAAAGATGAAAAACGTGTCGGTGCTCTGATGTCAGACGCCGTGACCTGGACGTGCTGTGTGATACCTGTGAGCAGGAAGAGCACGGTGTAGTCCCGTTGGTTCACCGCCTGCACCCTCTGCACGCTCAGGTGACTGTATGTGTGCTCAGCAGAAACCATGGTCAGAGTCCTCCCCACAGGCCGCACGCTGTCGTCTGCCAGGAAGTTCTCTTTGACGAAACGTAGAGCGTTATCGGACGCGTTGTGAAGGCCGCACTGCACGCACAGAGGAAGGTAGAACAGACGTCATGCAAGGATGTGACTGATGTGTTGAAGGGTGGGGTTAGTCTGCAGCGTGTATTGTTTCAGTACATAGTATGCATTGTGCAGTATGTGGTTTAGCTCGCAGCCTTAGTTTTGATGAACTGGGTCATGAAATCAAAATGTTTGAAGCCAAACTGAACTCAGCTTGTTAAGAGTTTAAGAACTCTTCACTACTATGATCTTCCCCTCCAGGACTAAGTGAAGCGTCCTTCCTCCACCCCCGTTTCTCCATCATTACCTCTCCTGGATTGGCGACCTTCTCCTGAACCCGGGTGCTCCACTGTAACGTGTCCCGGTTCAGGACTTTGTAGTTTCCAGAGAAGACCGACTTGATGTCACTCAGACGGAACGAACACACAGCCGAGCGTCCAGAGTTTACAGACCTGGAGGACGGTAGAACAAACTCGTTTACTCTGATTCTGCTGAAGATTAAAAATAATCTGCAGAGTCAGACGAGTTCAACATGCGGCTCCGTCTTTGTCTGGGTTTTTATTTTCTTGTGTGTGTTTAAAAAAAACAACAACTGCTCTCTCTGCATTTCTGCCATTCAAATGTTGAAACTTCCTTCCAGCTATTTCAAAACTTCTTTTTTTTCCTGTGACATCCCTACCGTGAACTCTAACAACACATGCACATCGTTCTGGATTGAGCTTTAATTTAAAAGGAAATATAAAGGGTTCTCCAGGATTTGAGTCCATCTTTCTGTTGTCTATATTTCTGTTGCATTCAGGGGTCACTTCACAGGTTGGGGTTGCTATCCCCAAACCCAACTGTCCACCGATTCTGGCTTCTGATGTGTTTTGGAGTAAGTTAGTCCTCTCCCCTCGTCTTCCAGCTAATGGATTACAGACTCAAACCACATGAGGCCAGACAGGTTTTGGGTCGTGTGCAAGCTGTCTCTGCACTTCAAGCCCAAGAAACTCATGCTACTGTGGAGTGAAAGCTGCAGCCAGAAGCGAGCATTTCCTACCAGTGGTGTGACACAGTGTACTCAATGTGTCCTGCAATTCTTTTGTGTTGATTAACAGTAAAATTAGATCACAATTTAGGTTTTCGTGCACAAACACAGATTAGATCATCCTGAAACCAGAAACAGCTGTTACATCACTCAGGATTAAAAACATTCTTTTAACAACTCTTATGAAATGTCTGCTTTCTTGAACGGAGCAGGAACAGCAGGTAAAAATGTGGCTGTTTGCATTCACACATGCAGCTCACTCGGAACGTTTTCAGGAGTTTTGTGTACGCGTGAAAAGCGCCGTCACTGACCACTGGGAGGTGAAGATGCCGTAGAAGAGTGTGTCGTCTGCCGGAGCGCCCTCTGCTGGCGCGAGTGTGTCGATGTCCTGGATGACGTTGTAAGGCAGCTCGTTGTCGGCCTGACACAGCAGCTGAGCTTTAGCAAACGTAGTCCAACGTCTCTGCAGGGTCCGCTGGCCCCCCACGTCACTCTGATTAACGAGAGAGGAGACGTTAGATACAAACACAGCACTTCTACCTGCTGCTGTCAGCATCACTCCTCATCAGGGCAGCTTCACACCTCTGACAGAAATTATCACCTCGTTCTTCTCGTCCTGTGAGCATTACATTGATTTGAAGGATCACCCTTTCCTTTAGTTTACGTCTGTGGGACAGATTGACAACATTTGGTCCGGCTTCAACTGAGTCGTGTGCAGTGACGGCCAATCACATGTTGTGATTCACAACAGGATTACAGGGCTTTGCATCGACTACAGCTGTGCAAATAAGGAGACACCACCTGATTTGAAAATGCACACAAAGGGTTAAACGTCCCCCTAGCTGTGCTGCAGAGCTAACAGTGTCTCTCTGCTCCGCTGCTGTCTGTGCATTCTTTTTTTTTTTTTAAGGATTGATTTTTGCCTAAATTGGACTGTCCAAGTGGATGGATTCGGGAAACAAGGGAGAGAGAGGGAAAGTGGGGAATGTACTGCGGGAAAGGCGCTACAGACCGGACTCGCACCCAGACCACCCGCTTGGAGGACGACATAACCGCCAGCCCATCTGCGCCCCCGTTTGTGTGTTTCTGAACAACACATTATGCCGTCATGTGGGATTTTTTTCCATTTCTTTCATTGCAAAAAAACATCTAATTAACAAACACCGGCACTGACAGCAACGCGCCGTTACAGTGAAAAGTTACTGTCCACTGAGAGATGGAGGTAACAGAAAGAAATCATCTTTAAATAAAATCTAGAAATAAATATGACATTAACGTCACAATTTAAAAATAATCAGGGGTTAAATCAGTCTGAGGCAGGCATGTTTTTTTTCTTTGCTCCATTCAGGGAGGAAGCTTTATTTTAAACTGTTCAAATCAGATCACACTCTTCACGTCTGGCCTCACAATACACTTTAAGACCCGAGCTCCGTCAGTGTGAGAGCTCAGATCCTCTCAGAGTAAAAGGTTCAAACTGCTTCTCTCCACATTTAGTCCAGAAAATAGAGCAGGACAACGTTTCGGTTGGTTTGCATCTGAATATCATTAGCACTATATGCTTGATGAAACAGACCCCGAGGTGCAGCAGATAGTCAGAGCAGATGAGGAGCACTTTTTGGAGCTATAAGCGGCAGCAGTCCGTTCTTCATGACTCCCCCACTTCCCCCGAGAGGTTTTGGTTGCAGTTCCCTCTTTGTGCATAAACATCCCGTTGATGATTATCTGAGGTTGCGTTCTGTCTTCAGCTGACTCAGACTCACCTCTCAGAGCTGCAGACAGTTTCCACTCTGAGGGAAGGTTTCCATCTGAATTAGACGCTGTTAACCTTTTTAAAAAAATCGTCTGTGATGCTTAAAGCACGGTTAAAAACATTCACAACCTTTTCTGTGTCCTCACGTATAAATTCAGTGTTAGGCGACTAAGCTCAGCCGTCGTCACGTCTTTGTACATTCATACTGATTACGTGTCCCAGTCTGTGAATTCACGTTGTGTTTTCAGTGTTGCAGAAGCACAGCGCAGCGGGAGCTCCTCATACACACACAGTCAGACATGCACACACACACAGTGCTGCGCTACCACGCTGGCTCCACCCCCTTGCTCTCGCTTTCTTGCCTCTCTTACTACCTCTGTACAGAGGGGGGGATCAGTTCGTCCCCCCATTAGGTCTCTGTGAAACATTCAGATTGAAGGTGAAACGTGCTACTGTTGAGTCTGCAAATATCGCCTGCTAATTCAACAAAGCGTGTTCGTTCGGTTTTATTTTACTGTTCAGATTCTTTAATCGCCACATACGGGTTTGTTAGACTTTGACAAGCCTCATTGTGCTGCGTCGCTGCTTTAAGATTAAAAAAATAAACGACTTCCTGTGCCCACATGTCATCACATCAGTGTTTTATAGAAATAAACTGTTTCTTGAAAATGAGTGAATAGCAAGAACTGTCTTAAAGAGTTAAGTTCCTGAAGTTTTAATCGGTCTGTACAAGTTGTTGTTTGTGTTTGCTCACCATGCAGATCTGAGAGACCCGAGAGACGATGAACTTGTCGATGAAGTCGTACTCTCTGCCCACCTCACTGAAGAAGAAATAAATCTTCTCCTCGTCAGGGACGAAGCTGGAGCTGATGAAGGTCGGATCTGAAGCGAACAGATGGAAACAAGTCTGAGAGATTCAGATTCAGTTCAAAACAACAGACACACAACTTTGTCATATTTAAAGAGGACATATTCTCCCCCTTTTCTACCTTTTCAAACAGTCTCCTGTGGTCTAAATGAAACATCTGTGCTGTGCTTTGGTCAAAATATAACATGAATCAAGCACCAGAGGAGGTTTGTGACCCTGTATAAACCAGCTCTCTCAGAACGCTCCGTTTTGGTGTGTGTGTCTCTTTAAATGCAATGAGCCCCCCCTGAGCTTTCCTGGTAGACATCACTCCTCTGTAGTGACAATAAAAATGGCGGACCTGCGCAAAAGTTTTGTACTAGGCTGGGGGTGGAGTCCATGGGTGGAGATATCAGGGGAGGGGAGGGGATTTTTTTCACATTTGAAACGGAGCATTTTTCTCTGTGTTGTAAGACTTATGCAGACCACAAACAAAGGACTGGATGAGTTTATTTCACATTTTGTGGGTCAGTAGACACTCAGGTTACCAAATATATGTTCAAAAACACTGTAACAGTGGATTTATCATAACATGTCCCCTTTAATTAAAAACGCGTGTCTCTGCCCTGTTTCTGACAACACATCTTAAGAGCACACAAACACTACTGCTCTCCGGGTCGCCGGTGGACTAGTGGTTAGTCCGCACACCCCATGTATGGAGACTACAGACTAGGTTTGAATCCGACCTGTGGCTCGTTCCCTGCATGTCTCCCCCCCCCCCCTCACTCTCTCCAAACACGTTGAGTAATCATGCAGGTCTCCTCACTGACCCTCGAGCCATCCCAACGTGTCGTCCAGCTTCAGGTCGACTCGCCGGCCCTCACTCAGGTGTCTGGAGATGACGGGTCTGTTTCCTCGGTAGTCTGCCACCGTCCCCGTGTACAGCTCGCCATCTGAGGGACAGAAAATCCACCAGAAAACTTCATCAACAAACAACAAACTCAGAGCGATAAACAATCGTTGGTTTCTTAGTTTTATAATTGGAGTGGGCTTTTTTGGCTTTGAGTCGGGGGACTGAATATTTTCTGGCTGAGCAAAAAAAACATATTTATGATCTTGAACGTGTCACTTGTCAGCTCGCCACGACGGCTTAATGTATTCAAACGTAAAACTAAACACAAAGCGTCTCCAGGCTTCTTCATCAATCACATCACTACAACGATCTAGTGTAGTAGTTTCACAACATCTATCATCATCCTACGAGGCTGTTCTGGATTCTCTCTCCACACAATGAAGTCCCAGTCCCACCTTGGAACACGTGACCCCAACGACCCTCAGACGACCGCGAGGGTTAACAAGTCCGGGCCAAACTAGGTCAGCGTCTCAGCTAATGACTCTCATGACTCTCATGTGAGTCATCCTCGATCGATAGCATGCTAATGACCCGCAGTGAGTGAAGAACTGAAGCTGTCTTCAAGGTCTCTCACTGAGTCCACTTGTCTTTGGATCGAGCTGCGAGCAGAGGCCGAGGTCGATTCCACGCTTTGGACGCTGAACCGCACTGGTTTGTATAGAAAATAAAAACGCTGCCAGTGGAAATGTCTGCATTATTAGACACAACATGATGACATGTTTCCTACTGATCAGCTGACAAACCACGGGGCGCGATCCTGATGTTACACCACATGTTGTAACTTTATAATAAAGGTGGAGACGGTCCGGGACATCAGCGGGAGGTGGTGGTTAAGATGATCTTTGAGATGCATTTCTCCAAAGAGGAAGAATCCAATGATTAGCAACATTTAGAATCGATTTGGTTCAGCTTTGTTTTATTTACAGACACCAGATTCAGAGAACACGATCCTCTCTGACCTGCATCTTATAAAGCCCTTGCTCTTCTTAAAAAAAAAAAGATTCGACCTGAAGTTGACCGATAAGAACGGACTTATAAGAACAAGCAGCAAATTCTCAGGGAGGTGTCAGAATGGACGCCTGACCCTTTATAAACAGCCGGTCCTGAGGAGAGCTCAGGCTAATACTGGTCTGCTTAATTTACCCACTTCATGGTGAGTTTGACCTTTGACCCTCAGGTCGTCATCTCAGAGCTCTGAGACTGAGTTGATGCACATTTCAAATCTTCAGGAGCTCATCACATTTCTTGTCCAGCAGCTCTGGATCCAAAGACAGATCTCAGGTTTTCTTTAGCTGAAGTTTTAATCTGAACATCAGTCAGTAAGTCAGTAAGATCGGTTTCATCCTTCCTGTTTGGATTCAGCAGAAAATAATTTTCTGCTGAAAGACCTAATGTTTTTCTTCCTGAGTTACCTCAGCTAGCCTGTCAGTTTCGTAGTCTTACCCACGATGATGGCCGTGTTGCGTTGGTAGGGATCGTAGGGGCAGCGTCCTCGTCCCTCGTCGGGCTTCAGGCTCATCGTTAACGTCTCGGAGTTCTTCACACAGGAGAGGAAAAAAAAAACTTATTCCAAAACAAATAAAATCTACAGAAATCTGCTCTGAGAATAAAACAGCACAAGCTCAGGTTGTTCAAATGTTTCACATATCAGCCCTTGGTGTGTTTACATGTTTTTTAAATCGACGCAATCTCCGTTTTTTGATTCTGTCGTAACCATGGTAACTAAGGGTTAACGTAGCAGAGCAACAAAGTCAGCTCGTCAAGAGTTACATCCCAGGACCACACACTGCTTTACCACAAGTTTGGACTCTGATCATTTGATATTCGTTTTTCTTTTCACACATTTTGTCTGTGACGACCTGAAGAAAGTCTGAGCCCACGCTAACGAGTCGTTTGTTGCTCTACTGAGTCGTAGAGATGCTCTCAAATCTTTATCAAATCTATAAGGTGTGTCATCATCATCATCATCATCGTCTGTAACAGTTCAGTGTCCACGTGTGTAAAAATAATCATACAATGTAGGTGCAGCGTGGACTGAAGGCGAACGTCCCGCAGGCGTAGACGTGGCTGCTGTTCAGGAACTGCAGAACTCGGATGAAGTTTGGACAGTCGGACTGGGGGGGAAAAAAGGAAAAAAAGAAGTCATTTAACAAACAGACAATCAAAAGTTTAGGACACAGCGTGCCTGCTGCAGGACCTTTGGATCCAACACAAATATTTACACAACAGACACACACAAAGGAACATCAACATCTGCTAACGTTAGCCACGCTCACCCTGCAAAGACGACACAGCTCATCACGACAACGACTGCACAATTATGTGTTTTCTTCCCTCTTGACTTCCCGGCTCATCTTAATTAATTAATTTTTTTAACATGAATTTTTTGGCTTTTTGTGCCTTTAATGGAGGGACAGGACAGTGGATAGAGTCAGAAATCAGGGAGCGAGAGAGAGTGGAGAATGACATGCGGGAAAGGACTATATCCTGCACACATTGGGCGCACGCACTAACCACTGCGCCACCAGCGTCCCGGCTCATCTTAATTTTAACTATAGTTTAAGCCTCTGAGAACAACCTGGTACAGAACAGCTACTCACCATCTTCTTTCCTTTCATGGAGCATTGTTCGAGGTCTTTCTCTGACGGACTCCAGTCCAGCTGAAAGGAACAAAGACAGGCAGATGAAGAGGTGGGCATAAAAAGAGTCACCATGTCTTAAAGCTGTTTATCACTTTAGGAGGGATTAGATGACCTTAAGTTTGGACAGCCACTAATGGATCCATTTCCTTTTTTTATCAACACAGTTTTTCAGATAGTTAACTCTGAATGTGCGCTCAGTGATCACCTTGCTCCTCAGTGTGATAGCGTCCTCGTTGCTAACATCCAGTGCTAACACCGCGTCCCGGGCCCCCACATACAGCAAGTCCCCGTCGTGGCTGAGCAGCAGGGTGGTGGTGTTACTGACGTCAGGGCTGCTGAAGCGGGTCACAAGTCTCCCAGGACTCCCTGTTTGTGATCAGGATGTAACACAGACGATTAAAAAACAAACAGGTGTGATGATGCACGCTCATCTTCTTCTTCTTCTTCTTCTTCTCGTATTTGACTGACAACAGGATAAAGAGTAGGTGTGATCTCTCCTCACCCAGACTGAAGGAGACTCTGGGAGTCGGCCCGGTCTCACTCGGACTCACACAGCTCAGCAGGACCACAGAGAGGGACAGCAGGCTGTGGATCCCCATCACAGCTGATCTCAGTCACATCTAAGGCCCGAGGCGTGAAGGGAGGGGGGGGGATCGTAGCTGAAGCCACATGATCTGGTTTCTACAGTCGACCATCACTGGATCTGAAACACACGCAGGAAGAAAAACAAAACATGAATGACCACCGCCTCAGAGATCCTCCGCTGAGTCTTCGTCTTGTCCTGAGAGTGACCAGGAAGTGACTCAAACGAGACTTACATAACACAAACAGCCTAACAGGGACGTTTTAAACATTTGTTTTGTTGCTTCCTCTAACAGACGTTTCTTCGTTTGCAGCTTTAGATTCAGCAGTGAAGGAGAAACTATGAAGGGGCGCTCAATCTTCAAACCCGCCAGTTGTCATCTGACAACACGCCTCTGGGAGCAACGGCCAGCGTCTTTGTAATTCCTCTGTAGAGGGTTAAATCAGTTCACAGAGACTATCAGACAGCACCAGGGCTTCAGATAAAGAGTCTCAAACACTCAGAGAGTTTCTACTCTTCTTAAGAGCGCCTTGAGTTTCTCTTCTCCTTTCCTTTTTAGAAATGTCGTTTCTGAAGCGAGGAGCGCAACGTTGACTTCAGCTCGGTTGTTTTTCAGAGCTTTTTGTTTGTTTGTCTGTTTTTTTTTTGTTTTTTTTTTCAGCAGGGAGATGCTGAGCAGATATCCGGGGCCAAAGGAAGAGCCCATTACAGTCTGGAGCGCGTCCAACCTGCCGAGAAGAGAAAATGATTTCCTCCAAAAAAAAAAACAGCATTCTGTTCAAACTAAATGAAATAAAAAGAAAGGCCGTATTTATGATGTTATTCTAAGAAAATACGTTTTGATATGACTTGTAATTATTAAGGAAAACAAGAACAAGGGAGATGGTGCATTTTTGCGTTCAGAGAATTGAAATAAAAGAATCTAATTTATTAATGAATTGAATTTAGTCGCATGTTGTTGTTTGTTTTTAAACAGCAGACTGAAGAACAGTTTCTTCCACCTTCTCTTAAATATTAATATTAATTCAAAAAAACACTTCACATTTTAGATCGCATATTAATGCCACACTCACTCACAAGGATATGTTATTCTGCCTTGATGTTTTCTTAAAAACTAACATTTTATTGTCATTGTGCTTCTTTGTTCTGGTTTGATATTCTAGTTTTTAAAGGTTTATTTTTTGCCTTTATTTTAGAGACAGTGCAGCGTTTTTTAAGGAGGTGTTCACACATCCAACGATCTCATGAGGTAAAACTTTACTTAGTACTTTCTTAGAGAGAAAGAGAGAGAGAGAGTGGGATATGATATGCAGGAAAGGAGCCACAGGTCGGATTCTAACCCGGGCCGTCCGCTCTGAAGGACATAACCTGTCGTGGGGGGGGGGGGGGGGCGCACTCTCACCACTACCTACCTGCGCCCCTTTATATTCTATTCTACCTACCCTCTGCAAAAGAGCCTCCTAGCATGAGCATTTCACACAGTTGTGTTTGTAGGACTATGACCATCTTGAACTTTGAACCCAGCATCAGATCTTGAGTTAAGTGTATTTTTTACATCCATCGTACTTGTTCTTCAATGTTCACTTTTAGGATGGCTTCCTGTTTTTATACACAATTGTGCAGAAAAAGATACTCAACAAACATAAGGCATGCAGCCTCCAGGTAACTTGTCCTGCAGATCTCTGACTTCTGAATAAATCATGTGAAATAATACCTGACTTTCTAACCCTCAGGAGGGCATAAACTACATGTTATTAACTTCTCTCTAGATGCAAACGGAAGTGATCGTCACTTTGATCTTTTCCAGACCTGCAGAAAAAGATCCTGAATGCTTTCATTTGGTCAGATCTACCTGCTGGACATGAGCATGTAGCTCTTCTCCTGGTGCAAAACATCAACAACACACATGCAGCACGTCTGACTGCTGAATAAACAGGTGACTTTGGCCTCTGTTATTGTACTGTTGTGCACTTTCCTGACATGCATTCGCACATTTTTAAACCCATTTCACTGTAAAGCAGCTCATCGGAAGCGAACATGCCCAGTGCAACATGTGTGTAGCTGCGTAGTCTTTGTTTCTTCCAGCAGACCTGCGCAGCTCAACATGATCTGTTTGTTCTGCTTCTGCTGCAGGTTGCAAAAGTCAAATGTGATGAAACACGTGGTGTCCAAAGTTCAGCTCAAATCCTGCAGTTCAACAACACACTATAACACGTTACAGCCCGGTATTAAAGCTGCACCGTGCACACATTATCACACACACACACACAGGAGGAGACATTTTCTGATCGTGCAACAGGACGTGGTGAATCATCGAGTCGTCATTCTTCATCAATCTGAGACAAACAGCAGACGATCAGCTGCTGTTAAAAAAAACTGAGAGAAAGATAAAGTGAGCTCACGTTTCCGCAGACTTGTTTCCTCTCTGTTTTCTCCTCCTGAAGTGAATCCGCAGTTTTCCGCCCTCCTCTCTCCGCTCCGGTTAAAAAAAAAAAAATCTCCTCCAAACGTGACCCCGGTGAGGAGAAACCGCTGACCGAGGTTCAGCCTTTACTATCATAACAAAAGCCTCCCCCAGCCCACTCCTCCTCCATCTGCTCCTCCTCCTCCTCCTCCTCCCGTCAGGAGGAGCAGCAGCAGGTTGCAGGCTCCCCCTACAGGCGGTGTGACACATTACAACCTGCACAGGTGGAGAAACTCTGACATTCAGAGCTCACTGACTGCTGAAAAAGTGAGGGATTCATTCTGATGACCTTCATTTGAAGCTTTTAATGGGTCATTCATGTAATGGAGGCGGGGTCGTAACAATACTGCACGGCTGACACAGAGTCTGCGGCGGAGGGTTCCCAGAAATCCTGGAGACACCCCTGGGGAGGTTTAATCAGGTGAAGCTGCAGTGAAGCATCTGCTGCAGAAATGTCTCCATTCAGCCGTCTGTAATAATCTATGATGTGCATGAATGATCTATAAGAGCGTGTGCATTAACCACGCTTCAGAGTGCAAACAGTGTCCATCTGGCTGAAAATATAAGCGGCGTGTGGACCCCTGCAGGTTCCTGTTGTCACCCGATGAACTCTTTATGTATTTAATGTTTGTATGTTGTTTCTGGTCTGAGTCTATGTGCTTGTGTTTCTACAGGTGTTTGATCGTAGGAACCTCCTCCTCCTTTTTTTTACTGATTCCACACTGCAGGAACATGAACTGTTTCAGTGGGACAGGGAGGGCTTCACACATAAAACACGTTCGAGTGAAACATCAACAAACTGAATGAATCTTCGCCCCGTCAGTGTGAACACAGAGCTGACAACAACAAACCCAGAGGGAGTTTGACTTCACTGTTTGTTTTTAGAAAGGCATTACTTACTGATATATTTTTATTTCTGCTGTTAGATCGGACATCTGAACAGACTGTACCTGTGCTGTTTTTATTGGAGCCATCTTGAAGCTGAGGCTCGAGGAACTGCAGCGTTCTGCACTTCTGCATTGGCTTCATTTATCAACACCAGATGCCGCTTGCTCCAAATATGGCTCCAGAAAACGAAAATGGTTGCCAAGAGGCCAACCTGGAGGCTTCATATTCACAGTCAACAAACTACTTTGTGGCGTTTCAGTGGTGGCATTCATTATCACAGAGTCTTTGGTGTGGAGGTGCAGAATTTAACACCACTTCAGATCCTCTCTCCTCGTCTCCTCGTCTCCTTAATGGATTGAGAGATCCTCCATGATGGCGAAGGGTAACGATCAGGTCAGAGGAGAAGAGAGGACGCGAGGAAGTATAAATTAAGGTAGCTGGTTAAAGGCGCCCTGTGTTTTTAGACCCACACAACAGACTTACAGTCAGGATTTCACAGCTCCTCCTCTGACACGCTTTGTTTATGTGACACAAAATTACAGGAGCTTTGTTTTGAGAAGTAAATTGAAGTTAAACTAAAAGTGCTCCACATTATTTCGCGTGGACACACAGGTCAGATTTAAGGTTGCTTTTTTTATGTCCTCAGCTAAATTCAGTTCACTTGTAGTATGAAGATGTTTAAAAAGCTCTCGTTGTTGATGCAGCCATGCCATCAGCTGATTCATCAGTGCTTTGTTTGATAATCAGAAGATCATTCTTGTATCAACAGGCTGTTTAACTATTTTATGTCTGCTTTTATGCACAGAAATGCATGTTTTTCACTTCATACTTTTTACGCCAGAGTGTTTAAGCAGAGCAGTGTTTATTTATTTAGTTGAATATTTAACTTGTCAATATATCAATAAACTGAATTAAATACTGTGTTTAAATGCAACTTTACTTTGGACAACAACCTTATGTCTCTTCTTAGATTTAACAAGTGCTTCTTTCTCTGCAGGTTTTGAAAAAAAAGAAAATGTCGTCCTTGCACTTTCCACTTTATTTCTAACATCTAGCCCCTCTTAAAAAGCATTGAGAGGCCTGTGGTGTGTGTGTGTGTGTTTGTGTGTGTGTGTGTGTGTGTGTACCTGTCTGGTGTCTTGTTTGTCTAGAACTCCATCTTGATATACAGCTGGAGGATGTTCTGATGTATAGCTCCACCTGGTCTCCTCCTCTGCTCCGTCTCCTCCTCAAACAGGCCGACTGCAGAAATAATCCAAACACTCCAATAGTTTGTGCACATGCAGGATTGTTCTCCTGCAGACGATTCCTCGTTAGAGCCGCCTGTTTCTTCTCTCCGATCAGCTCAGTATTGGAGTATGTTTGTTAAAGTAAAAGTCTGTTTAGTCCCGTCATCTCTCACCGTTACAGGTTAAAATTCAGCACAACTCGAGCGGCAAACTATGGCGTGTAAATTTAGACTCCTACAGCTTTAGAGCAGACCGGCTTGGTTGTGAGCGCAGCGGGGAAAGGAGCGGGTAAGAGGGCTAATAAGGAGAAAAGAAGATTGGAGCGGATTAGCAGTGACCTGGAAAGAGCCATGTGGTAACAGGCTGAACGCCTCCAGCATCAAACACGAAGCTGCTGCCTCACAGGTGTATGACGACCGAGCGGCATGACAGGAGACAGGTGTGCTGCTGCCTGTCGGCTGCTGCATAGTGGCTGAAAACACCACCAACCAGAAACAGGCAGCAGGGACGTACCTGAGGCTGCAACCAACAAGGATTAACTTTTTGGTTGACTTTTAAGGGCTTACAATGCGACTTTCAAAGCAGATTTTCAGACCAAAACAAATAATCTCTGAGGATACACCTCCTTCACGACTTGAATTACATTTGAGGAGGTTGGCCATGGAAGCCAACAATTTCCATGAGGAGAAACAGTCAAATACAAAAAAATGCAAATTCAAAACCACACAATTTAAGATCCTTATCAGGAAATTAATATGTTGCAACTAGCACAGGTACGAGTCAAAAACAGACATTTTGCTCTTGTAAAAAAGCTCATCTCTAGAAATATTTTGTGCATGTGTGAAAATTTGGGGCCGTAGTTACATTTTGTGTGAAAGTTATGATTAGCTAGACATGCACAGACCATCAGCTAAAATTTGTACTTGTAACCATACTAGGTTTGTAGCTGATGCATTCAGGGTTGAGCACACTCAGGACTTTTGTGTATCCATCGGTCAGTTGTTTTAAAACCTCATAGTTAAAAATAATATCTGCACACACTTCCAGAATGAGTACACAAACTATAACTACAGCTACGAAGATTTTTCACACATGCACAAAATATTTCTTCTAGTTTAAGGTCAGTATTTGTCCATCTTGTTTGTTTAGCTGTTTAGTAGACTGCTTTCGATTTCTCACAGTCAGTCTCTTACTGAGTGTCCCTTTTGCAAAGTATATTATTATATAGGTGTATTAGTCTTAGGAAACAGTGTTGTTTGTATTTTGTGCAACTTTCCAACATATCAACAGTCAGAACAACTTGGTTTGATCAGAGCTACATTTTCAGTTTATTAGTGGATGACAATAATAAACTTTAAAAACACAGAAAAAACCAAAGGTACACAGGAGATGAAGTGCAGCAGTGAATCCGCCTGCAGTCTGATAATGTTTAACTCACAAACGGTGCAGTCATACACGTTATTTTGTCATTTTCATTTTTATCTATAAGCAAATGTGGAGAGATAACAACCTGACGCTAGTCTTCCTGCTGGACTCAGATAGCTTCACTCCAGCTGCAGAGAAACTCAAAGCCATGCAGAGACTCAGAGGATTCTATTTGTACGCTGTCCTTCAGCTGTCTTTGGCAGGTAAGACTGTTGTACTTTTTTTTATTATTACATATTAGCTTATGATTTAAAAGGGCTATATGTAACTTTAAAAAATACTGCGTTTGTAGTGATACCGCATGGACATGCACCAGTAACCTGTTGCTCACTCTCCCTCGTGTGCTCGTCATACGTCCTCATACGTGGAAGACGGCCTCTGGTTGTGGAGGTGAAGACCAGAAGTGTGTGATGAGTTTGTTCTGTTGATCTCTGTAAGCGGAGCAGAGTGAGGAGGATGTTGAGAACGTGCATAAAATGTCACTTCCTGGAGCTTTCGCAGAAAATACGACCCGGGGAAACTTTTTATACAGGCAACTCAGATAGACAGTGAACAACTACTTTTTCACATCAGTTAACCATTCGCTTATTAATGGGCGTAAAAAGTACATATAGCCCCTTTAATAATAGACAGAATCTGAAAAACTACTTTAAAAAACCTGACATTTGAACCCATTTATAATCTCAATACATCCTCTTCAGTAAACTCAGTAAACCAACACCAGACTGTGTTGACCGAGCGGCAACCTCCAGTGTTGAAAAATGAAGTCATCGCAGAAGTGCAAAATCCTGCAGTACCTCAGGTGTCCATTAGAGGCTGGCTGCAGAAGCACAGAAAGTCACATACACACCCATTCAAAAAAGCAGAAATTAACATGTTTACAGCCGGGTTAAAAAAAAGAAAAAGGTGTGATTAGCTCATGTCTCGATCGACACACACTTTACGGAGGGTGAATGTTTTGATGACTCATCAGTTTTAATTTGATGAAGGATAAGAGTTATTCACTATAGTGCGTTTAGCGGACCTGATTGACAGGCGGGCGCGATGTAACGGTTTGTCAGGAGGCTTTAAACCCGCCTCAGCTCCAGCTCTCAGCCTGTTGTTAGGTTGACTGAAAGTTAGACTGAGACAGCATTTCCAGCATGGAGACCGCCATCGATGGGACTCCAAAGCGCCCTGCAGGAACAGGCGGGTGACGTCACTCAGACTTTTGTCCATTAATAATTACAGTCTGTGGTTTTGAGCTGTTATGATTTTGAACAAATGATTCATTAAACATCAGATGAGCAGAGTTTTACATGATAAACAGCTGACTGTGTTTCTGTCATTTCAGCCCAGGGAGTTCAGACGACTGCGTTCAGCTCTAATCTTGGAAGCAGGTAAGACACATAAAGATGCAAATGTTAGAGTGCATGCGTCTTTTATCTAAAATGTCTGACATGCTGATTCATTACTTAGACAGAGTAGTCTGTGAGAGGAGCTCATAGAACCGACGAACACACAGATATTTATACACACATACAGAAACAACTCAACAATTGAAGGTCGTTTTTCATCAAGGTATCCAAAATGGTCGTTTGTGGGAGGCTTTGCACATCATGGTTACATATTCATAGTTTTCCATCAGTGTGTTAAAAGGCTTCCGTGTCCTTTGAAGGGAGCACCAATTGCTACTGAAGGCGTAGCCATCTTTGGCTTTGGATAGATTAGAATTTATTATAGATTGTCACTTTGCATAGCAGCCTCTACCATGATGTGTGGATGACGGGGTGAATGGGGAATGATGGCACGGGTCCCAGTAAAGTCTTTCAAATGATTACCAAATACTGACACTTTTCAAGCTACTGTACATATTAAATACTGCAGGACATTATCTGTGTTTGTGATTGTTTGCTTCTTTAGTTTGTTTAACTGAAATGTGGACAGATAAAAAAAGTAATCACAAAGAGCATTCATACATTTCTAATGAGCAGAGTTGATAGACCAGTGCCGTTACTTTTGGCACCAAAGAACAGGACTTGGCATGAAAGTGTTCAAACTATCTTATAAACACTATTTAACACCTTGTCGATTTTGATTCTTGCTAAATAACTCGTTGACCACTTTAATTATCCCTTATCTATTTCCAGAACATATCTTGAGACAACTCCACCGAGATTTTACCCCATCCACGCTGATCCTGGGGACGCTGGAACGTGGTCGATGGAACTGGACAGGAAGTCCAAACCCCCAAGTGCGTCCAACACAAGTGAAGGTTTACGGCAAACAGAAGCTTTGATTTCAAAGGAATTAGAGACTTTGTCAAACCAAGAGTGTATAAACCCTAGAGAAGTTGATACCCAAACAGGCATCAGTTGATAGTTATTATGGAGGAAGACGCAGCAGTGATTGAGTCGGCCACTAACCTGTTTGAGAGGAATCCAAGTGAATCAACGCTGCTGAGCTACCAGAAGGGGGCACTGCAGATTCTCAGGGGGAGCCGATTCTCTTCTATTCTTAACCATGATGTCATTCTGGTTGGTCACGGCAGCACTGGTACCAACGGATCAGTCCTGTCTGGTTTTGATCCTGAAGAACTTGCCAGATTCATGATGGTCTTAAATACCGAGAGCCTCCCTGGTCGTCTTTGCACCATCAGCCTCATCAGCTGCAACCTTGGAAATGACTTGAACTTCATGTCGCAGCTGCTACAAGTCCTCAGGTCTCTTGGTATGGAAACAAAGCTTCACCTTTACAACTCCTTCCTGTCTGTAAGCTCTGACGGAGAAATCCTGACTAGGACTGAGGGCCTCTGGAGGTCCAGTGACCACAGAAGAAGAGTCATCGGTGAACTGGACCAAAGAGGAGACCTGCTTGTGAGAGAGGAACTTGGCTGTGCAGGTCCAACGTTTCCTGATTTTAGAGGAAGTGTTTTGTATCTTCAGATGCTGGATTGGCCGCGACACCCTCAAATGTTTGTTCCAAGAGAGCTGCGCAAGAAGTACCCGTCCATCGACTGCCTGGAGGGGCTGACGTGGAGCTTGTTCTTTGAGAGTGAGCGACGGCGAGCTCCTGATTATGTCTCACCACAGGGCGAACAAAAGGGTGCAATTTGGCTTAGAGAGCCAGGTCCAGAGGAAAACATTGTCATCAAACACATCAATACCATCCAGGATCTACTGGTGGAGATACGATTCAATGCAAGAGAGGAGGTTTCATCCAACCTTTACTACGTTCTGAATGAGTGCATTTACAAAGTAAGTGGGAAGAATCTTAATGTCACTCTGGTGGGAAAGTTCATGAGCACCAACAATGAAGCTGAAATCGAAAGCTTCCGTCAACGTTTCAACGAGCCGCAGGGTGAGTCGTCCCTTCAGGAGCTGAGACAGGGTCTGAAAGTGTCCAAATTCACTGACTTCTGTCGGCAGACTTTCCAGTTCCAGCAGTGCATCTACAACTGTGAGAGGTGGGGTAGATACTTCATGGCAGCCGTGTTTTCTGCATCCGTGCTGAACTTCAGAACCTTCTCTCTCTTCCTCATGAGTGTCATAGGCTGTGAGGTCGGTCGAGCGAAAGGAACCGACAGCCCCCTGTGCACGGCGTTCGTCGGATCCGATCACCCAATGGAGACGGACAAACCACGGCCCAATCATCTGCGGAGAGGGTTCTACGGCTGCACTGTTGACAACTACGAGATGGCTCCTCAGGAGAGACAGATTTGGTTGGATGAGGTATTGGCGAAGGAGAATGATTTGTACATGAAGTCAAAGATGATGATGATCGCCAACGAACGCGATGAGCAAACAGAGCTTGACATCTTCGGGAAGGTGAAGGTCATGAATAAGTACGCGTTCTCATCTTACCTGGAGTTCTTCAGAGGTACACCTGAGGGGAAGAAACTCAAGAGAGGATGTGCTCCTTCGTTAAATGTAAAAAAAAAAACCTAACGCACGAGCAATGTGTGATTGGGGAACACCAGCGTTTTGTTAATTTATCTATAGCATAGTTGGTAAGAGTATTTGCTTATGCATAAAGTTATGACTCATAGTCTGTAAGTGAGAGATGGCCTAGCTTCCAAGGCACTACAGAAGTTCCTTAAAGCTGTATTCTCTCTCACCTCCAGCAGGGGGCAACTCCACCGGCTGCAAAAGTCTGAAGTCTACGACAAAAATGACTCTTCTCTACTCTTGATTTATTCCCTCTGAAAACACGTTTATGGTCTCAATCTTTAGTTTTATGTTGTTTTCAATACATCATGATGCTAATTTTGTCCCATTTAGAGTCAAGTAGATCACAAAACAGGGGAGGATTTAGGGCGGGGCTACATCTGATGGACAAGGTGGTACCACGATAACCTGGAAAATCTCTAAGCCTCTACTTAAAGACATTCAGATGATTCCATTGTTTGTTAGATTATTTTTTTAACCATGCTTTATGGCTGCGCAAAACTAGCATCGCAGCTAACAAAAATAACAGATGCATATTTGTAACCAAGCAAGCTAGCTGTGTCTCAGTTGAGGTTTAGCATCCTATTGGCCTTTGTAACTTAAATATGACGGTCTGGTCTGCAGAAGACTTCTTGTTTGAGTCACCAGCTGTTCCCGTCCTTACCCTTTTTGTTACCTAGCGCCATCCTGTCGCCTAGCAACTTCGACAGCTGCACCCAAAGTAACTAACTAAACGAATGTCATTTAACTTAATATTTTGTTTCAAAGTATTTTAAAGTTTAAAGCAGATTTTGAACTGAGTTGAGACCAGTTACTTACATTAAGTGTTTAATTGATGGGGCATAGATGGCCTAGCGGTTAGGTTGCCCCCCCCCTTGTACAAAGGCTATGGTCCCCCAACTGGGCAGGCCTTGTTCAAGTCCAGCCTTGGGCTCCTTCCCTACTCTCTCCCTGGATTCCTACTCTATCCACTGTCATATCCAATAAAGGCAAAAAAGCTCCAAAATAAATCGATCAAAAAAAAAAAGAAGTCTAATTGTCAGCTGCTTGAAAATCTGCTATTTCCTTTAAATTGGCGCGCGATGGATCTCGGGATATGTTGGAAGATGAAGGATGTACCAGATGGTTCTTTTGTTGGCTAGGGAAAGTAGGACGTATTTGAAGGAGCCTTTGCAATGGGACCTTAAAATCTGCTCTCTGAAAATGCTTCCCCTGAATTGAGACACAGCTCAAGTCTGTTAATCCCTTACACTAATTTTAGCTCCGCCCTCTCATCCAAATATGGTCATTCTTCCTCCAAACCCCGCTTCCACCACACACAAAGATGGTGATGCTTCCAAACTGAAGTTTTCATAACTGTAGTCCAGATCATGGTGGCTGTGTCTTCTTCTCCCGTACAGTCTATGAGCTGACACATCTATGTGTTTGACCCTGCGATGATATGATACTGAAATAAAGCACTACTGCTTCGGCTTGTTGGCGATGCTAAACATGTGACTGTTTTAACAGCTTTGAGACAGATTTATTTGTCAATCAATAAAAGATTCATCAGTGACAAATGCAGTCTTGGTGGTGATTTATTTTATTACATCGGCGTCACACAGGTCAGAACACGGGGAATTACAAAACATAAATACATAGAAAATGCAGGATCACAGAAGGTAAAGCATTACCGATAAAAAAAAGGGAGAAATAAGCACATTTTGAGATGTTTCTCCAGATGGTTGCAAAGTAAAATATTCCAACATTTAAAAAGTATCCAAAGTGTTTTGATGGTGACATACGAGGAGGAGTTGAGATGAGTTTTTGACCTACAGACTGACACGAGGTTGAGCTCTTTGTGTGTAAACTGTGAGTCTGCTCTGCACACAGGACGAGATCACTTCTCTTTACATGCATCACTCATACAATCAGATTTTACTCACAAGTATAGTTACACTACATTGCTGTCTGTAAATGAAATGCTTGGCAATCAAGGGGTTAACTAATGAGATGACTGTTGCCAGAAAAGTGAGAAAAAAATGCACCTTAGATCTCGTTCTTGTTCCCTTTTTTTGAAACAGTGGAGTAAGGTGTGTCGTCTCTAATCTGAGGCCGTGTTAACGCTGTTGTTTGAGCTTTTAGAAAATGTACTGAATACCGTATCGTCGAGCAGTTTATCCTCATGTTCATGAAGTAAAAACACAACCCATTTAAAGGCTCCATGAGTCACATTCATACAAAGGAAACAGAAGAAATACTTGGAGTGATTGCAGGAGTGTGACTTTTACTCGGGTAATGCCTCCTGATTTTTGCACCAGTTAAATTTAAAATGCGTGTTTTGCAAACCAATTGCTCGTTGGATCCACGAGTAGTATCTGAATTTGTTGATTCTGACGATGCAAAATCGCCTAATTGTACCTTTAACTGGTGCAAAGGATGCTGGGACATGTAGTGGAAGAAGAAGTGATAATGTAGTTTTTTGGTCCTGATTTTTTGGGGGTGCGTCCTGTGTGCAGACTGCACCTTTTTTATTCTGTCTGACACCTGACGAGGGGGCTTATGAACATTGTGTTACTGTGTTTAGTTAAGACTCCAGGCGGCGGATGTGTCGCTCTTAGCGCGGCTCTTCACAGGAGGATGCATTTGCAGCCCCCCTGGCCTGCGAGGAGGCTGTGCTGGTTCGTGGCTACTGTCTGGATCAAGCTCCAGAAGTGCTTGAAAGAGATTCCCTCGCCGTCTTTTACACCCATCTTCTTCATGATTTCAGTCATGCCCTGGTCTGAGAGGAACGACTGTGGAGACACAAAGGGAACAACATGTAAAGTTTCATTATCCCAAAGAAACAAGCTGTGTACGTAAAGATGCTAACTTCAGCTCAACTCTGACTGTGAAAGATCGTTTTGATTTATTGTAAATCCATCCTTAGTCAGTTTTAACCCTTTGCGACATTTTGGAAGTTGTTTCAACACTGATACAGTTTTCAGGATCCCTCTGATTGCGCCAGGAAAGGTGGGTTGGGAATCCAATATTTTTGAGCCGTCTACTTTGCAAAAATGCATTTATTGTTTTGGTACCCAAGCATTGCTAGTTAGTACTTTCCAAGTTAGACAGTGTGCGAGAGTTTACTTGCAAATCTTTATGGACTCACTTCCTTAGAACCTGTTTTATAAAATAGAAGGCCAATAATTAAATCTGCTACTGAGAAAATGAATGGAATGACTGGAGGCAGCGCTGAATAAAAGTGAATCACTTCATGTTCAGCTTGGTGTTTTAAATGTTGGCCTGCTTGTGTTTCTTTACCTGTCAGGTTGATTGATGTCACCTCAACTCAACACTTCTCTTCAAAACAAACAAAAATAAGAAGCAAATGACCCCAGCTATAACAGTTCCCTTCCAGTTTTCATGTTTATTCTGTATGACAACAATGACAATGTTGGCTTTGTAAGAACATTTGTCTTGTATTGTTTTTCTGGAAAATGGTGATTAAAAGAAAACAGATTAGACATTGCCAAAGGTCTTTAATAGGGACGAGTTACAGCTGGTCTGCACAAACAACGAGTGCCTCACAAATGAACTGTTTAGACAGCGAGAAAATGTGCAGCTAGCACGAATTAATCACTTTGGTTTCCCCCGATGTGTCAACAGATTTCAACATGACTTAAAAATCCATGACCTTTCCTCTTGTCCCCCTGCAGCCTGTGAACTCATTTATTAAAGGACTCTGGAAGTTTTTTCCAGGAAATCCAAAGGATGTTGTGTTTATGAGTGATGGCACTCGCTGGAGACTTTTTCCCTCTCTTTAGCGTCTTTTCATGAACAACAGTGCGCAACAGAAGCTAGTGTTAGCTTAGAAAGATTCTGTTAACAAGAAACAAAGAGCAGGCATCCAACAAAAGTCGAATAAAAGAAAACTTTCAGTCCGTGTGGTGAAACAGAAATGTGGGGAAACAAAGGTCGGAAACTACGATGTGAATGTTTCAATGTAGAGGGAGATATGTTTGGTTTTGTTAGCTTTAAAGTTAGCTTGCTTATAACATAGATGACTGCAAGCTAGCTAACGAGACAAAACTCAACCTTGAGTGGATAATTCAGCTAATTCATCAGACTTCTGTTTTTTGTTGTAGACTTTTTATAAGTGTGTTAGCTTTCCGTTTTCAAATAATTTCAAAAGCTTACTTTGTGAAGCTACCAACATTAAATAAATGTAGCTTGGCTAACAGCTAGCATACAATATGTCAGCAAAACTTTCCAAGTAGATATGTTAGTTATAAAGCTCCTCCAATGAACAACTTAAATGATTCAAACTAGGGATGTCCACACTCGACTTTAGAGCTTATTAGATTTAAGAATTAAGATCTAGTTGAATAGTCTAAGATCAAGAAAACACGATTTATATAACATGGCTAAGGCTGGCTACATACTAGACGATTTTGGGCCCGATTGAAGTCTTGTCACAAGCGATTATTTGTCCAAATAGTCCACAAATGTGTGGGTTCAATACGATTATTCTACTGCTCCCCATCGAGTCGAAGCCTCCGAGATCTACGAGTCCACATCGAGCTGATCCCACAGAGTACATTCAATAGCCAATGAGAGCGAGCAGACTGGGAAGTGTCACCAACCAGATGTGGAAAACTGTCCTCCCGCCTGAGATCTTCCACGTTTTGAAAATCGTTTAAGATTGAAAATTGTCTCGTGTGTAGCAAGCATGGCTAGCCGAGCTAGCACAGCCAGATGGATATTCAAATGACAGATTTTCTTTACTCCTTTAAACTCAAACACCCACTCTGATGTTACGGTGAATCACAGCTTCATTGATGGATTTTTTTTCTCAGCAGTCAGCTAAGCTTGGGTCTTATCTCTGTGTGTGCACATCAGTGTGTGTGACTGTGCTGTCGAGCATGTTTCTAACTGTCTGTGTGGTGAGTCAAGATCTGCCACACCCAGCTGAAGGAAAGAGAGAGACACACACACACACACACACACACACACACACACACACACACACACACACACACACACACACACACACACACACACACACACACACACACACACACACACACACACACACACACACACGGAGGCTGACGGCGGTTTTACCTTGGCCATGTTGGGCATCTGGCTGGACAGAAGGCTCTTGAACTCGTCAGCTTTCAGCGTTGAACTGTTGCTCCCTGAAGCAGAGTGGAACTTGTTGACCAGTGTGCCGATGGCATTCTCCAGGCCTGAAAGCTGCGAGAGCAAAAACAAAATACATTTTTTATACTCTGCAAGGCTTTGATATTGTCTCTGCACACGCAACAGCCGCAGCTTACGACCAATCAGGAGAGAGAGTTTGTCAAAAATACAATTTATACTCAAAGCAAAGAAACACGAGGACTACATGATCTGCTCCTCTTTTCTGTTTTTTATTTCTGTGCAATGGACGATACAATATCTGTTATTTTTAATGATTAGTAGACTCAAAAAGTACCAAACGGTTAAAATATCTACATATATTTAGTCGTATATCTATCCAAAAGCAGAAGAAAGAGAGAGATTGTTCAAATACGCTGACCAGGCATTTGGTACTGAAACATTGCAAGCCTTTTTGTGCAATTTAGACAATGTGCAGGTGTTTTCCTGCAACTTTTCATAAATAAAAACATGAAATTATTAAATACTGTGCTCCTAAGACTTTCAATTTTGTTTCTGTGGTATCGAAACAGGTCTGGTTATCGTTAAATTTGACCTAATATTGTATCAAAGTTTAGAAATCTAGTTAACAAAGGGGCGCTGATAGTTTAGTGGTTACGTTCTGCATGTTGTGCAGAGGCTAAAATCCTCGTTGCAGTGTCCGTGGGTTTTGACCTCGGCCCTTTGCTGCCTGTCCCCTCACTCTCTCCTCCCAACACTTCCTGTCTCTCTTCAGCTGTACGATCTAATAAAGGCAAAAAGTCCACACTTTCTGGACAATCCTGCTATGATCGGTAAACAATTTAAAAGAGGTAAAAAATCTTGAGAATTATCAGCTGAATCTGGAGCTCTGCACACGATAAGTTCAGGGGTTTCCGTCAAACACAAACAGGCAAACAGAACTGTTCTAGTGCTTTAAAAGAAGCGGAGGGAAAACTGTGAATCTAAAGACGGAAGGCGATTCAGGTCATCATCAATTCCTGTGAGCTGAATCATCTCCTCCGGCACAGTGGCTGGTCAGCAAGAAGGAAACAGGCACCATCAAGACATTATGTAATGTTTTAAAAAATAGTTTGTAGAGAATAACGGAGGCACCTTTGAGGATCAGAGTTTTCTTACTTTGTGTCCCTCCTCCTCTCTTCACCTGTGCTCGTGTTTGGGCGGCAGGCTGAAGCTGACTGAGCTCTTGAACAAATAACGAGAAGCTCTGTTTGAATAAGGGCAACTAAGTGAGCAACATTTCTTTACCTTTATTTGGTTTACGGGAGGTGTTGCAGAGCTGCCTCTTACCAACAGAAAGAGTCAACCAGTTCCTACACGGGTATTTCTTGGAGTATCTTCAAATGCTTTATATCCCTGCTTTCTTTGACATCTTAAAGGTACTCTCTGCAAGTTATGCTCTAGCTGTTTTCCTTCTGGATAAATCTCGAAAGGATTATGCAAAGTACAATCTCTTGCAACCAGCTCTGTAGGAGATTCTTTTTT